CAACCTTTGAGCGACCCACTCAAAAGATGCGAACATCGGAAACAGCAACCTATACAGCCTGGGGAGTTTGTTGAAACTCATGGAGGTCTGCAACTACAATCGTTTTTCAGGCTAGAAAGCGGGCTTGTGTCTCCGTAGCAACGTGGGCGAGCTAGATACCCTCCACACTAGTGTCAAACGACTCAGAAGAAAAAGAACTGTAGATAGACGGGTATCTAAGGGTTTTCTTTGGCAAAACGATCAACCATTCTCTTCCAATTATTTCTGGACGTTCTTAGTGGCTCGTGGAGGTGCACCGTGCCACAAACACGAGCTCTTTCCGACCAAGAACTGCCACATACATGGCGTGTTAGGCGTTTGGGCCCCCCCCAGACGGTGAAACGGCTGCAAGTGTTACACAATTTCGATGGACAGCGCGAGCGCTCCGTCTGCTCTTCGCAACTGTTAAATGGGGGCCCAACCCCACCAGGGTAATCTACAATGATCATGATGGGTTTTCCATTTTCCATGGGAAGGTGAGTCAGAGAGTAGATCATTGACTGAGACAAGAGTCTTGCCGGCTCTCGAAACGACTCCTTCTCGTCCCAGGAACCTGACAAGAAGCATCCCTCAAGACGGTCGTCGTCGAGGAATCGACGCGACGCAGGTCCGGTCACCATCTCTCAAGCGAGCTAAGAGGGTCCTGAGACGAAGCGAAACCTGCGAGCGAATCAATTGTCAGAGCTGCTAGCCTCTTGAAGAACCCTCCACCCATCACCACGTCTCGCCCGAGCTTCCCTGAGAACCCAGGGTCAACGTTCCTGGGTGGTCTCGGGGACAGCGGCTGCACTCCACCCGAACACCTGCGCTGTTCGGGTGGAGTACCGATTTCTTCTGCATCTTTTTTACAGAACTCCTTTTCGCGGTGCCCGTGAGACTGTGGATCAGGTGCAGTGTCAGTGCTTCGAACAAAAATCTCGGAACACCCTGGACTAGACCCCCTCCCTCCCTCCCTCCCTCCCTCCCTCCTGCGATGTGTGGGCATGCCCACCCTGTGACAAAATCCAAAACCGTCAGCAACACGGGTGTTTGGACTGCCTACGTGTCGGAGTGGCCATCGGTTTTGCTGGACTGCCGTATGGAAGAACACCTGTGATCTTGCTGATTTTGGTGGGTGTTCCATGTGGTACCTACTGTAGCCCACATCCCAGAAGGTGCTTGGGGTGGGTGCCAGGGGGGTCTAACCACCTTCTCAGGATATGCACAAGGAGCTGTAGGGCCTTGACTTCTGAACATGGCAGTTTCGACTGTTCATGTCTTTTGCGTTTCGACAGATGTGCCACAAACCATCTCAACACCAGGTTTTCCGTAGCAAAGAACATGGGTTATTCAAGTATGTCAAACACATTCGATTTTTGGATGGGAAACTGGTCAGGGCCGTCTTTGCTAGATAGAGGGGCCGGGATGTCGAAGTGGCAGTAGACCGCCCGAGCCACAGTTGGGTTTGAGACTTCTGACTCTATAGACCTCCCGAGCTCGCAGACAGCGATTTGGTTGTAGTGCAAAATCCCGAGCTCGTCCTCCGCTCTTCGGGATTCAACCCATTTAAACTCAAGGGTGACGATGTTCGCCGTTCATCCCGAACTTGGGGGGTATCTCCTCAAGATCGTTCGACTGTTCTCGATCTTCTCAGGGCGCCGTGCAAAAAGCGCTGAACTCGTTGGTAGGATCAGGTCCTGCCCTTTTTGCCTAGGGCGTCACTGAAAGGCCGCCACCGCTGCCGCTGCCGGCGGTGCGAGGGGAAGCTGCGATGCTTCACAAAGAAAAGGAGAATCGCTTCAGATGGCACCAAGTCATCGATTGGCACAGCTTCGTCATGATTTTTGTGTATTTTGGTCAACCTTAGAGATATAGTAATGAATGTAGATGGCCACGAATTTCACCGATGAATCCCCATTTTTCCTCATAACTGAAAGGGGTAGCATCGGTTGTCATCGCCTTGCGCTTCGGTCGTCGCAGCTTCTGGCGGGTCTCTGAAAAGAGACGACGCGCTTTTCGACAGCTCTTGCTGGGTTTCTGAATGGCGTCGTGCGTGGTCCCAAATGCGCAGTCGGTGGTGACCAACCAAATATCTTTCTGCACCGGGATTGACAGAGCTCGGGGTGGTGTTTCTTTCGTCCCATGGATGGGGCTGTGAATGTGAATGTTCGGGGCAGCTCGACTGTTTTTCTCCGAGAACACCCGACTTCCTCCATGGAAACCGTTGGTACCTGATCACGTCACCAACAAATGGGGGCCCCCCCTTCGTATGAAAAAGGACCTCCTGGATCCACCATCTGCGACCTTTTGTTTCGAGACATGGGCGACGAAAACACATCGCCTTGCACCTTTTTGGGGTACAGGGGTTTCAGAGGAAGGTTCGATGCGCACGTTTCCCCCACAATGACCTAAACAGATGGGGGTCAATGTAAACCACCAAACTTGGGGGCCAGACCGTGCCATCTACTCTCTCAATCCACCCAAAAAAACATTCGAAGCATTCGTGACATGTTCCACAACGCGTCTCCGACAAGACGGCAAGGGGCTCGAAGCATTCATGGGTACACATATGCGTGAACTTTCCAACCGGAGGAGTGGTTCAGTCTCCTCTTTTTCTTTCCAGTGCCTACACACCTTGGTGAGCAGCGAAAATTGGGCACCACATGAAGACTCTGTTCCGACTCCGCAGATCAATCAATTAGGATGGCCGCGTCCCAAGGACCGCGAGCGCGAGAGAATCGGGACACCAAGCGCGAAGAACAAAAGCCTCAGACCCCAAGGAGGACAGCGAAGAGGACATCTCAAAAAAAATCCGGGGCAAAGACCTCTTGAAGTTGCAGGCGACTACGACCCATGCGCCCAGGTTTCTGATCTGCAACCTACGACCGGTGGGAGTGTGAACCGATGCCTTTGGTTCAAATATCGGCTGTCCGTACAACCTGATTGGACACTAACGGATTTGGACAGTTTTCACCCACCACAGAACCAATTTTTGCACCACAACATCAGGCGTCTTCCCGGAAGCTCTTGGTGGACGGGGCGAGGGATGGTCGCGCACGGCAAAGTTCACTCCACTAGCCAGGGTGGCGAAGAAAAGGGGAGCGGACGGCCGGGTTGCTTGATATGATCAGACCGGAGATATAAAAGCTGGGCAAGATTGATATGATCATCCTACAGCAAAAAACAGGGTGCTTTCTGACCAGGGCCGGTGATTTTCGTGTGGAGAAAGAACAAGCCGATGACAGTCAGACCCCAAGGCGCTTCGTTGACTTCATTGGAGGGTGCGTTCACATCCCGCACGAAAGAACTTTCCTTATGAGAAGGGCTTGGATTGAAATGTGTAAATCATCGGATGTGCATCTATTTCGATGTTTGGTTTGGTTTCATACCTTCCAAGCGTAACGTTGAGAAAAAGACATCCGATCTGGGTGCTCTAGGTGCACCGAGTTCTTTCCGCATATGCCACATCCTTCACTGCTGGGCAGCCCATCCGAGCATTGAAGGCTTGTGCCGGATTGACCTGAAACTCGTTCGTGGTTCCGTTGGACTAACATGATGCGTCCACGAAAGCATCGAACACCGTGGGGCCTTCGTCTTTTTGGGGTATTGCTATAGACAAGTCCTCCGTATCCTCTGCAGGAGCCACGTTTGTCTTTGGGATTTCCAGGCAGTGCACTGGCCGTGCCCTGGTGGTTTCCGGGTGAGCATGACAACTGGGTGTGTCGTCTGCTCAACACATGGAGATCTGTGGACTGTGGAGCTTTTTGGTGTGTGGGCACTCCCTGACCAAGAATTTTTCACACCTCAACAACGCCGACGGAGCAAAGATGGTTTATCCCCATCCAAGGAGCATGGAAGTGGATGGCATAGACCCGAAGGGAGGCCATCTTCCAAATGCCAAGCAATACCGTGCAGAGGAATTCTTCTTTTTTCTTGATTGTTCGATCCAGGGACTTTTATCGCAAAAAGGAAGAGGGGGGATGAACAGTGGTGAGTTGAACATCGCGTATTCGCTTGAGCAGAACTTATTGGACCTGGCGGTGTGTCTGCGCAGACACACCGCCAGGCACAGCCTCCAGGTGCAGGATGGAGTCTCTTTGAACTCAACTCTACTTTCAGGAGGAACGGAGGATTCCACAGGCTTTGAGGCGAACTTGTGCCGTCTTCTTCAGTTTTCGGGGCTGTACTCCATGTTTTGCGAGCTTGTGCTAACGGTGCTTTTTTGGTGCTAAGGGGCCATCGACCGACGTGACCGTCTCGCTTTTCTCGGTGTCTTGCTTTGAATCGCTGCACCGTGACCGTCTCGCCTGCAAACACATCGGGCTCGACAGGCACCATTACATGTGAGTCACTTGAGGCCTCATTTTCAGAGGTCTTCTGAAAGATTGACATGATTGGACTCTAAACAGGGTGCCGAGGCCAAATCAACAGAATCGCATAAGAATACGGCAAGATTTGGTAGGAAGCCGCTTCATACAGAGAAGGACAGCAAATTGTTTACATGCGCTCTTTTGACCAAAAAGAACTGTCGCCTCAATCCACTCAATCCTGTAGTCCTGTCACGAAAGAAAAGCACTGCGGCAACGTTCAGCTCTTAAATCCTTTGTCTCAGGTGTGCATGGTGTGCTGTTCGCCCCAAATGATAGGTGAGACCGAGGCTGCCAATCAATGACCATGGAGGAGCACCGAACAGGTGTGTAGCTCAAACAGGGAGACCGACCCCCAACGTTCCGACCCCCAAAGGCATCAAAGAGCAAACCGATCGGGGCGAGAAGCAGCCCGTGTCTCGCCCTGAAAATACACCCACCCAGCGCGACCTGCGACTGTGACACCAAAAAACCGGTTCCACTGAGCTTCCCCAGCTCTTGCCTATGAACAGACACACCCAAAAAGAGACCCTGCCAGATGATCACTTCACACGAACACCACTCCACTGACCTCTGCGTGTTCTCCGGACGGGGGCGTCCGGAGAAGAACATGGCATGGCGAAGCCGGTCATAGCTTTAGGCCGCGGTGGGTTTTGCTGGGTTGGAAACACCACACACGCGGTGAGGAGAGGCTTCGACATCGGGTGGAAGCACCTCGTCCAAGCAGCTACTAAGCAAGTCAGCAGTGATATACCTGCAAAGCCTCCAAAGTCTGGGGAGCTGAAGAAGTGGATGTCCTGATTCTGAAGGCTATGGCGATAGTTGGAGAAGGTCATAGGCATGCATCGGTTTGGGCGACAGAAGGATTTTGAGAGGATTCCTTTTGGGAAGAATTTGTCCAAGGTCCATTTCCGGCTGACAAGGCTCTTCAAGAGCTTTGTTTCACGTTCACATGGACGCAGATGAAGAAAGGAAGAGTGACAAAAGAGGAAGCACCCTGAACATTGAACTGGTTCAGATGGGTTTTGGGGTTCTTCCATCCATGCAGAATCTCCTGTAGTGTGAATGGACACGTTTCCACATCAGAGGTTTTCTTCGTTCGTCTGGGTGAACTCCGATCATCACCGTGTCCCGCGTGCCGCGTGGCGTTTTCGTGCCAGGCCCCTTCGTGCCGTTCGGGCAAGAGCCGGGGAAGCTCAGTGGAGCCGGTGTTTTTCGGTGTCGGACCGCGAAGGGTCGCGCCGGGTGGGTGTATTTTCAGGGCGAGACACGGGCTGCTTCTCGCCCCGATCGGTTGGGCTGGGCGGTCTGGATTTGGTGGATCTTCGATGCCGAAAGGGGGTCGATGCCAACAGGTGCGTTGGGGGGGTCGGTCTCCGTCCCTGTTCACACCTGGACATGTCTTCTTCCAAGGGTCGGTTCGGGTTCGAACGACCTGATGGCGGGGCCTGTCCAGTCTTTTGGGATGTTGAGAGAATGTGTAGAGCTGGCACAGAATTGGCAGAGCCCTTGGTTGATGGAAAGACATCAAGGACACTTGGGGTCTGAGTCCTTTTTCACTCGGTTTCGAACACCGAACACATGGTTACGTGGATGGCATGACCCCGAGTTCGGAAGACGACGTACTCCTTTACAAGTAGGGGGTGTTATTGGAATACACATGAGATTTTTCAAGACCCTACGAGCTTTGTTTACTTCTATTAACAATATGATAGAGAGAACCTGCGCAAAGGCAAGACCCGTTGGTTTGTTGGATCATCTAACTGCCGTCACCTTTCCTTTCCGCCAACCAGGGTGGACAACTCGGCTCCGACTCGCACTCGCACTCGGTGGGTACACTCCGACTCATTACAGCGGTTTCAGAATGGATGGCACTGGCACCCAAAGAGGTCTTTTCCCGACTGAAGTCCAGCTCGACGATATTTGGACCGACTGAAGGTTTCAGGACATTCCTTGACTCGAGTCACCTAGTCAGACCGTTATTTTTAGAGTCTTTGACTCCCGTTTATTTCATTTAATGGGGGTCCATGATTGCACCACCAAACTCAGGGGCCCGGGATTGCGCCATCGAACCTCTGAAACCATTGTAACATGGAAGTAGATGGCGCCCCCACTGTTCGGGACAAGGACAGTTGTCCACTTTTCAGGACCATGCCATCCACTTCCATGTTGAGTCAATGTAGGACTCCATTTGGTGCTTCCCTTCGACGCTAGCCGACTCTAGTCCAACACTTGTGTCGGACTCCGAACGAATGGCAGTGGACATGGAATTCTGGGTGATCGGCATCCATGCGGATCAAATGCAGGTGAAGCATTGTGCACCACCAGTTCCCACAGTTTTTTTGAGTCCCTTAGCTTGATCTCAAGTCAAGTCAAAAGCTTTGGATCCGCATTGTGATCCACTCGTGCACCTGTGAAACCCCAACACCATGGTCCATCACTGCCGGGGGCTGGATCCGCACCCGACCTTCTCCGCCGGGATCTCCACCGCGGCACCGGGCCAACCGCCACTGGGCCACTGGGCCGCGGACCGGTTGCACGTTGAGCCGTCGGAGGATGAAAAGCACCCTTCAGAGTCTTCAGAGGTCCGACTTCCATGGGCCACTGCCCGTTTCTGGCTGCCCAAGGCCATGATATTCATATGTTCCCTTCCGGTGGTTGGTACAAATGACGACAGCATCTGATACCGTAGTTGTTCCACCATGTTCTACCTATAATTTGGCCGGGGTCCTTGTTTTCTCTGAGAAACCCTTGAATCTGCCGAGCCGGCCTCCCCCGAGAGCCCCGATGTGGAAGGCGCTACGAGAGAGCCGCGTGAGCCGAGCCCGAGCCGGGCCGCCGAGTCTTTCCGAGGTTCCTCTCCGATGAGGCGGGTGGGCACTACCAACTGCTCCCTGTGGAGCGCGATGGGATCCTGGCCGAAGAGGAGAGCGGCAGCGCCGGCTGGGCGTGCCGAGCACGCCCGGAAGCGGGTCGAAGGGGAGGCGGATGGGGAGGAGAATGATGGAGAGGAGGAAGGGATGGGTAAGGTCACCAACTCGACACTGGCAACTCGACAGTGGACCACTGTGGTCTCTTTTTGGTTGCGGAGGGGTTTATGAGCATGTACTTAAGTCTCTGGGCTGGTGCTGAGATGTACCAAGTGTTTGACCCATAGCCAAAAAGCTTCCTCGAAGGGTTCAAAAGCTCTACTTGCAAAGTCTACAAATACACGTGCCGTCATGTGTTTATACCCTAGAGCTCCAACTACCTGCTGAGAAGATGGTTGGGGTGGGTGCCAGGGGGGGGGTCTAAACACCGAACCTGAGGATACGCTAAGAAATAGGTGGCTTTGTTCGGTCATTTGATCGTACTACACAGTTCATGTGCGGTTATTAAAAAAGATGCTGCTTGAACATAACAGAAAAAACTATTCTTTAAGTCTCATTCTAGCATCTCTTTTTTTTATTAGCAAAACGCTGCTTGAACATCACAAAGTCGTTTCGGGATGTTTCGGGTGGTTTCGGTGGCTAGCTACATCCGACGATCCCATGAAAGCGATAATGGTGTTCGACCGTTTTTTCTTCCGAAGACCGGTTCCGGTCGTGGCGGCAACCGGTTCCAAAACTGGTTCCACGTTCATCTGCAGGGGGGTATGATGGAATCGTTCCAGAATGGTCCGTCTCGTTCATTCCTCACCTGCCCTTTTCCCCAAGCAGTTTACTGTTAGGGGTTCTCAATTCTTTCTTAAAATGTGTCCTGTCACTGCTGGTGTCCGCCCTTTTTCGCTGGCCATGCAGCATTTCTATTCAGTTGTCTCCCGCTCTTTTCCGCTGGCCATGCGGCATTTCTATTCATTTGTCTCCCATGTGATTTCTTTACTTTTGTTTCCCAGGTTCGGTGCCTGCACTGCTAGTGTCCTCCCTTTTCCGCTGGCCATGCAGCATTTCTATTCTTTAACTTTTGTCTGCCAGGTGATTTTTCTCAAGCAGGTTACAGGCGTTCTCAATGCTTTCTAAGAGTGTCCGCCTTGCTGCGGGAGAGCGTGTCCGCCTTCCGTCCGGCTTGTCTCCCTTTGTCTCCCTTCTTGTCACTGTGGCCGCCTTGTCTCCCTTCTGTCTCCTTGTGTCCCTTTTTGTCTCCCTTCTTTTTGGTCATTGTGTCCGCCTTGTCTCCCTTCTGTCTCCCTCTGTCTCCGGTCTTGTCTCCCTTCTTGTTGGTCCTTGTGTCCTGCCTTGCACTGTGTCTGCCTTGTCTCCCTTCTGTCTGAGACAAGGCGGATGCAGTGACCAACAAGAAGGGAGACAAGAAGGGAGACAAAAGGAGACAGAAGGGAGACAAGACTCCTCGCGCCCGGCTTCGACTCGGTTTCACGCGGTTTCGGGGCGCGCTGCCAGGAGTTTTACATCGCCAGCGACGGGCGCTGCATTTGGAGCAGCGGCCGACAGATGGTGCGCGGCTTCGAGGCGGCGCGTCGGCCGCGGAGCCGCGGTGGGCCACGGAATCCGAAGCCTTTTTGGACTGGTCCAAGAGCATCAAGCCGCCAGTCCCATCAAGCTTCTTTTACAAATGATCTGTTGATCTGCAATGTTAAATCCTGAGTAGAACTTGTTCGGGACTCAGGCCCAGGCTATTTAAAAACTTATGGCATGGTCGTTCCAATGGTTATTTTTGTAGTTTTTCGTGTTTTCCCAGGTTCCACAGTCAACAAAAGCAGAACTGGGGTCGTTGCCAGAGCAGGATTCACAGGACTTCACTCCACTCGCGCATGTGACGGAAGATCTGATTTTACAGACTAGTCTTGCTACATTGCGAAATATTGGAGGACATGTGTGTAGGAAAATCAAAGCCTTTTGTGGTCACGAAAAACCGATTTGCAGGCCAGCGAGGCCTCTTCTTCCACCTCCAAGGCATGCAGAACATGGGAACAGGGGAAGACCAGCAGCGCAGGAGCACCCCGAGTTTTTCGATCAACGTGACTCCGTTACACCAAGATCTATTTTCCAAGGTTTTGGAATGGTGGAACCCCTTGTTGAAGAAGGCATTTGAACACCTTTCGGGAGACTTCTTCTGATCCACTTCTCCAGCTGCAGGTGTGCTCTCCGGGTTCCATGTGTTATTTCAATAATGTCATAATGTCAATGGTTCAAATTGTTTCAGAACTTCTTGCATGAACATAGACCATAGATATGTTATGATATGTTTATACGTTTTCTCGCTTACTGATCCTTGGTGTTGAACTTTTCAACTGCAATGACAGTCGACACCCTCTTGCACACCTCATGGTGGAACGATAGGTGTATTCACCCCGTGGACCGGGCGAAGGGTTTGTTTGGGTTCCTTTCAGCCTTAACAGACATTAACCCAGACATCAACCCCTAACAGACGTCAACCCTGGATAAACCCCTCAAATGCGAAGGGTTTGCTTGGGTTACATTCGCCCTTTCATTTGCCCCCGGAAAAATGCACATTCCCTTGGAAGATGGGCGACGAAGACATCGTCGGAACGAAGATCCGGCTCTCGCTGCTTTGGTTCTTGCTCTTCCGCGGACTGTTATGTCAGCGGCTTATTGCTTTGAGGCCACTAACAGGAAAATGCATGGACCAACAGACTGTTCGCCGGAAGCTACGAAAGTGGCGCCCGATCAATGCTAACCTGCTTGATAAACTGTCGCGGGTGTGCCAGGCATGAGCAAAAAAAACCGAACAAAGCCGTGCTGCATGTAGTCTGACGTCATGACCCCCGCACAAAGACATCAAGAACCCATGCGCACCATTGGTGTCCTCAACGTGGCAAGTGTGGTTGGCTGGATGAAGTGAGCAATTTACTTGATCGCTAGGCCTTGGATCAGAGCCTTATATAAGCCATAGCTACTAGTAGCTCCGGGCATTACAACAAGGAACAAGAAGCTACTAGTAACAAAGGATAAGAGCAAGAAGCAACTAGTAGCAAGATACCCCTTTGTTCCTAGTGGCTTCTTGTTACTAGTAGTGTGGCCAGGAGCTACTAGTAGCTTCTTGCTCCCAGAAGCGATGGATCAGAGCCTTGATCCGTGTATGGATCACTGCTGTGGCAACGACAAGGCGATCAAGGAGGATTACTCCTCTGCAGACGATCCCAGGGACCCTTTTCGAAGGCAAAACCCGTGGTGTTGGACCATTTTCCGAAGACCTTACCAGTCATGGCGGGTTCCAAGAGCGGTTGCGCATTCATCTGCAGGGTGTGTGTGAAAGAATCAGAATTGTCCGTTTCCTTGATTCTTCATCGGTCTTCACTGGTCTTCACCTGTCTTCACCGGTCTTCACTGCTAGCAACACTCAGGATCAGCTGCCTGTCAGACGTGTGATGCTGTCAAACAAGGGTCAGTCCTTGGAGAATCGGGGACGACTCCTGAAGAAACTTGGCGTGTTTCGCATGGCTTGCCGCAGGCCAATGCACACTTGGTGAAGCCATGACTGGCCCATGTGCCGACACCAACGGTCGCCGCTGCGCGCTGCGCGCCACGGACCGACCCGAGGCCGAGAACATGACGCGGGGACCGCGATGCACGCGACGTTTCGCAATGCCGTGCGCCCGAGAAGCCCGGCGCAAGCCAACAGGAATGATCTCACAGAAAGTCAGAAACAGCAAGGTGTGACCACAGTAGAAAGGGAAGGTTGCCAAGGAAAGACCTCACAGAAAGCAAGGAGACACCACAGTAGAAAGGAAAGGTTGTTGAAGGACCCGAACTAGACTATTTCATAGGTTGATCATACTAATATAAGTCACATAGGTTTCCGAACTAGACTTTCCGGTGACATACTTCACCTCTCTTGGTGTCCTGCCGCACCGGACTTGTGGAGCGGAGATGGGTCGAGACGAGAGACGAGACGGGTCGAAGATGCGAAGATGCAGCTGGGTGACACGTGGAGCTGAGCAACATCGACTCCTTGCCACGCTTGATGGAGCTGATGGCATTGACCTGTGGGTCTGTCCGAACTGACCTGTAACAGGACCCGTAAACAAGTATTACTATTTTGGAACAAGGCCTGCAACCTAACCATCATCATCCACTGTTACAGGTCAGAAGGATAGACCCAAGGCATTTCAGTGCAAGGATTGATGCACCCCGAGATGCCAGCGGGGCTGAGCGTAGCTGTTTGTCGTGTAGGTCGGTGTATGTCTTCGGCTTGCTGCCCTGGACCAAAGCTCCTATTGATAAACACGAACACCTTTGGAAAAGTGGAGGCCGTCTTGAAATCCTTCTGAAATATCATCATCATCATCATCATCATCATCATCATCATCATCATCATCATCATCATCATCATGTTAAGGCTGTTTTTAGATATCTGTCGTCTACATGTGAATGCAGCTTCGCCCTCACGGGCTCCGCTACCATCATCAGCCTTGTTTGGCTTTCCCCGGCGAAACAGGCAGCGCCTCCGCGGATCATCCATGCCTTTCGTTGCCCCTTGGAGACAGGGTCAGCCGTGGAGAGACATCGTTGGTGGTTTGGGGGTGTCAGGGAACCTGGGAACGCTGGGGGAGCGAATGTCTTTCAGGTTTGGCATTTTTTTCATGGCAACCACCAAAAGGCAGCGGTTGATTTGCCATCAGAGACTCAGATTACATTTTTTTTTGACAAAGCAGACTTAACGGGATGAGCCATGGTGAAAACCAACGGGCCAACTGGATGGTGGCTTCAACAGGCCATGGCCCATCCCGCGGACGACGGGCTGATAGACCCAGACCGAGCCCAGCAGCTAGCCCATGGCGCCACGGTTTCAGGGGGTATACGGTAATGTAGACTCTTGATTAATACACCCTCCCATTTGAATTGGACATGCTCTTCATATGGTCATCAAGAGTCTACGGTATAAGCAATTAGCCACTGAATCTGTGTGTGTCCCTCAGTAAACCTGTGATGGTGCAGGCATCGGTTTGAGTGAGAAAGGACAGACGGCTACGAGGATGAGGGGACGGTCGACTTTAAAGGCATGTCGGCTATGGTGCCTGCGGGTGTAGCGCGATGTTGCAGACAATTCTCATGATGCGAACGTGAAGCATTTGGCAGTGCGCAAGTGTGTTTGTGAGTAATTTGAAGCGCCGAAAGCAAAACACAACTGGAGTCCTTTTGAACTATGTGGAGCATCTACTACCTCTGTGACATGCCAGTCTCGTGGACTGTAAATCCAGTGTTTGACGCTGTTCTGCTCGGTGAAACTGGTCCGAGAAACAGGCTGCTCTTAAGACGGGGGGTCGGGTTGCGGATGGCGGATGGTCGCAGATTCTGGAATGGAAGAGCATGCTCTTGGAATTGGTTGGAGTTTGACCCTTCTCCCGATAACACGATAAATTTCAATAAAAGATCGGCATCGCGACGGGAGTGGTGTGGCATCGAGGTGGGAAAACCACTTGCCGCGACGCGCAGAAGAAAGCGCTTCGCACGTGTTGCTGCGTGGTAGGGAGCGTGATGAAGCGCTGCAGGTTCTTTCTCCCAGTTGGTGAAGGAGCACCTTCCGGAGCAAGGCCTGGCCCGCACGGAGGGAGAGAGAGAGAGAGAGAGAGAAGGGGTGAGAAGAAAGAACATGTCCTTTTTGGATTACCTCTGGCAGTTTCGAAGCACTTGTGCCAAGTCTGGGGATTCTTGTTGGGGCTTTGGATGACCAGTTTTTCCATAGGTACCAGCTTAGCAGCTGCATTTACCAGTGAGCAGAGAGAGTCGCTTCCTCATCGGTAGCAATTCTTAAAAGAGCATGGCAGCCGGGTACCCTGGTTTTGAAGTTCCCCGCTTGCAGGCTTGCGGTATTTAATCGGTATTGTCTCCGGTTTCAATGGAAGACCATTCACCATGACACTTTGGCTTTTTGAGGTGTGCACTTTGGCTACTGTCAGATACTAGCATTCCTTCTCCCCATTCGATATTGATCTCTTGTTCCATGTTCCATCTGAACCATCTACCCCCAGTAGTCTACTTCTCCACATGAACACCACCGCACCGGCTCGTCCGTGCGGAGACATGCAGGCGACACCTGGGCGCTGCTGAGTAGTGAGGCCTTGATGGTGAAGAGCGGCGGAGAAGACTTCACCGCGTCCCTCGATGGCAGGGAGAGGGATAGAGACTGAAGAGCTGAAGGGCGCAGTAGAATTTGCTTTGCGTGGCCTTTTGTGGTGGGGTGGTGAGGAGGGCTGGGGGGATGGATAGGGATGGGTTGTGGTAAAGGGAAGTGGTCAACCAAAAGGAAACGGCTTCCTTGACAGTTTTCGTTTCGATTAAGTTTGGGAGTCAGAGCCTGGGTGGTGGTTGCCGGTTGCCGCTTTCTGAGGAGGATGACCCCCTTGACCGCCAAGCGAGCATGGCCTTTGGCAGAGTCCTGGTTGGAATTGTCCGGATTGGAGTCTTCTGGACGAATCACCGGAAATCTGTGGAAGGTTAGGAGAAGGGGCCTCATGATTCATGCATTTTTGGGGACGGGGTGTCTTTTTTGTGTGAATATGTTTCATCAAGAATGGGAGCACCTGCAGATGTTGGATGAATTTTCGTGATTTCAGGGCAACATTCAATTCTGTCCTCAGTATACCCTTTTTCAACAACTTGGAGACTGGGCCTGCCCACCCAACGAGTCTCCAAGTTCTGCGCAGTATGGAAGTATTTGTCCTCGGGCCGGTAAAGAAGGTTCTGACGAGTGGTTGATTTGCAAAGCCTGGTTAATTCATGGAGAGTTTATTATAACACTTCGCGGCAACCGGGGGAGCAGGTAAATTTGGAGGGCTCACAAACAACACTACACAGTGAGGGGTGTTGGTCCGTAATTTGGGGAGACCTAAGGATAGAAGGTGTTTTGACCCACAGCCCCATAGCCACATGTGCCGTAATCTTAATCCGCCTTAACACAGCTGTAGTGAGTCAATGGGATGGTCATCCACTGTGTATATTGTACGGGGGGGCCTCGTGTACTAGGCGCCACTCTGCAGTTCCCAAACCAATTTCATCACAGTGCCCTCAGTGTGGCCTTTTGAGATCCTGTCATGTCGGTGGCTCCACCACAGCTATTTCCACACGAGAAATGGTCTCATGTGCCAAACGGTTTGCGGTTTGCTTTCTGACGATCGAAATCTACTCCACCGTCATCCACCTTCTACTTCCATCTCTACCCTTGGCCCTGTCACCGGGCGGCCCTCATAGCTCCAGGCGTCCGCCGCGGGTTCCAATCGCCCCATGTTTGTTGCAGGACGTGCTGTAATGCATGTTCTACTCCTATTGTACTGTAGAGCATTCACCAACGTATTGTTTGGACCCAGTTTGGCAAGCACACCATTGGTGAATCTAGGTTTGCTATGAGCTATGGAGGAACATGAATGGGGGGGTGGCCAGCACCATGACCCCAAGATGAAACTGAAAGCCAGATGTACCAGAACATTGACAAGCAAATGCAAAAAAAACTGAAATTTACATAAAACAAAATGAGATGAAGGTTCTGAACACCAATGCTAGTTCCTGGACAAATCACTTTTGCTTGTTGACATGAAAGCAAGGCGCTGCCACTTCTTTGTTGGCCCATTGCACCTGGATGGTGGTGGTTTGTTGTGGCTATGGCTGTGGTTTTTGTTGCTGTTTTTGGTTGTTGTTGTGGTTGTTGCTTTGACCAGAAACAACACCAGAAACAGAAAATGCCAATCATGCAGGTGGAGGTGATCATTTGCAAATTTCCTGGACAGCAATGAGGCCGGAAAACCAAAACGAAGCCTTCTCCTCAAATTCCTTCCACCAAGGTTGACATTTAGAGCAGGAAAGAACAATTCCAACTTGGAACGCATCTTGGAAATGGAATTTCTCACGTTTTGTGGGCCACTCAAAGGTATAGCTTGGAGCAGGAAAGAATTATCTTAGCGTGCCCGAGAATATGTTCAGAGTTGGGAGGAGGCGGCATTCCAGCGTAGCACATGTTTTGTCGGCCGTCCGAAGGTAACATGTAGAGCAGGAAGGAATGTTGGTGGTATAAGATGGTGCAAGAATGGTTTTGACAACAGCGTTGTTGACGTGTGCCCCCATTATCGCAGATTCTTCAGAGGCAGCGCCGGCATGGCGATAGACACTGGTAGCATTCGACATCGTACTACTGTTGTTTGACGGTCTGAATCAAATGCCAACATCTCCACGGGCTGAGATGCAACGGCAATGTTTGTTTCAATTGCTGCATAGTTTTCCTATCATCTCCAACTCTCAGCTGGCCCCCAAAAAGGACATTGAGACATTGAGGTCGGAACGTGCAAAAACACAGCCTTGCTGCCCTTCCTGTGCTCTCAGCCGAAGATAAACATTTCAGCAAGCACCACAAGACGCCTTCGGAAAATCGATAATCGAGAAGGTGGTAAGCGCAAAGCAGAAAGCGACTGCACAGGCCCGGACTGCAGTTGTTGTCTCTCGTGTTTGCAGCCCCGGTTTGGTTCTTTCTCGTGCGAACTCCATCGTGCGCGGGGCCGTTAGGACGGTGCTTCTCCGTCTCCATGCATCAACATGTCCTACCAGCCTGGTCGGCGGGGCTGCTAACATCCAAATGCGTTAGTATATACCGTCGTTTCAGAGGTTCGATGGCACAGACCGTTAAACAGATGTCCTGAAAACATGGAGAGGTTCATATGTTCACCACCGACATTGGGGTCTGTGCCATTGGTCCTCTCAATATATACACCGTTATACATCGTTGCAATCCGTTGCAGCTCAACGGGGTTGAGTAGTCTGGTGTCCCGTGGTCTCCGAGTCATTCAGTTTGGTTTTGTGCGCAGACCTCTCATCCCATTTGTCTATCAAACGTGCAAGCGAGAGCGAACCGTAACAGCTAACAATGTCAAAGCATGCCCATGGAACCCACAATAAATACTGCGAGTTTGGCCAGAACATATCGCAGCATGTGCTGTGTATTTGTTGTAGTAGCAATAGCAATATTGGCACAACGCATGTCCCAACACGTTTGTGATACACATCAGAGTGCCTGCTCACAAGAATGCAAGTATATGTGTAGTAACATGAAAATTGACCATATTCGTTTGTCCTAGCGAAAACAGTAGATTGAACAGTTCTACGTTGAATGCAAGTACATTACATATATCACGCGGCTGTTGTTCCAGTTTTGCGAGCCGCCAAGTTGTACAAGATGGGCCCATCATTTCAGGATTGTTTGTAGGAAGAGTTTGTGATGGGGATAAAAATGGAAAAACCACGCAAAAGCTACGGAGGATTTTTCAACCTTTAATGCTGCTAGACTCGTGTTCTTTTAAGCTGCTGAACACTGCATTTCTTATGGAACACTCTGCCAGTGAACCACAGCCACACAGCCTTGCCTCCCGCTTAGGATGGGGTCATGATGCTTGTGTGCGTGGAGGCGTTTGTTGGGTATGGGTGGTTTCGCTCGCAACCAAATCTCTCATTGGTGGGCATCCTTCGTTTTGAGACATGTCACATTTTTTTGCAACGCTTGGGAGGATGATATGTACGAACCGTGCTTTCTAAGGTTTCGACCAAAAAAGAATACGATTGCGAAAGGGTGGCCACTTCCACTCCCCAAAAGCACAGGTGTGTTTTTGAGGAGGCCACTTTGTTTGGTTCAGTCAATTTACGGGTCAGGGGTGATGAAACCACTGTGGAGGGAGGCCACGAAACCACTCGACCCCCCGCCCCGGAGTGGTCTGAAACCACTGTGTCCATTCCCATCGGAAGCCGGGCCGGAAAGGACCAAGGCAGAGAAAGGACGTGCGTCCGTCAGCGAGTTAGCTATGGCAGTTAGTGGCTCGCGACCAGCGAAGTGAGCAAAACCATTTGATCACGGTGGCGTTGCGTTTGAGGGCATTTGAGGGGAGGGTTTGAAGGTCATTCCTTCGCCATTGTGTTTTGGGTCAAACCCTAGCATTTCTTGGGTTGAACCCTCGATGGCAAACTGAAACAAATCAAACAATTGCGAGGGAGGAAAACCACCGTTTTGGGTCAATTAATTATATACTTGGTATTGCCTGGTCTTACGTGTTGCAAGAGGCAGCACGCACGTTGGATGCCCTACTAAAGGTGATGGGAGATGACCGGCGAACAAGTTCGCCCCTAATGTATAGTAGATGGCAGACCCCCAGAGGTGGTTTATATGAACCCCCATGTAAAGGACATCTTGAGGTCTGTGCCATCTACTCTGAAACCACTGTAGATGATATGGACATGGTCCCGAGATGGAGATGTGTCGAACACCAATCATTTCTGACTGGTCGTACCGGTGGGTTTGGGTTCTTCAGGTCACGCAAAAAGGCCGAACCCGAGACCGGAAGTCCCGTTTTGTGCATACGAAGCGTAGCTCTACAATCTATCGGACACATGAACACAAGCGAATCGCTGGTTTGTTGGTGTCACTGTTGATCACCCTAGTTGCTCATGCATTTTTGGGTGTCTCGATGGCTGATGTGGTTTGTGGATGATGTTCATCATAAGCACTTGGGCCTTGCTGGGTCTGTCACGGTCATCCGGGCAGCACCCCCCAAGGTCCGACGGTCGCCACCGCCTGTCGGTCGCCAGGGCAAGGAGCATGCTTTGAGCTTGGTGGGCCGTGGAGCTCAGTGAAGATGTCGGGGTTGAATGTCATCATTTCCACCGTGGAGCTCAAGGGATGTCTGGTGTTTTACGCCGCGTTTCTGCGTTCGAGGTTCCACTGGCACCCGAAGAGTTGTTTCAGATGGGGGTCGAGATAAACCTCCCGTACTTGGGGGTTGTACCATCTACTCTCAATCTACTGTATGAGACTAGCAGGACCATCCAATGGGTGTCCAATGGAGATCCCTAAGTAGTGTAGGGTTTGGATGGATTGACGAGGTGGTCTTCAAGGTTTTTCGATGATGTGGGAAGCAGAGCCGTGGGATGCGCCAAGAAACTTCCACCCAGCCAGTTCAACAAATGTCCAACAAACCAACAGTGACATCCATCCGTGACCCCAGATGTTCTATGTCTCCTTGATCTACTTAAAACCAAGCTCATCGCAATCCAGAACTGGCTCGTCTCCACACGTTGCCTCTCTCTCCCCATGTCACCCTTCCATTCGTCCCGTCTTCGTCCCGTCCGCTATGGGCACGGGTGCCTTCATCCCGCCCAGGACAAAAAGGACCTCAAAACTCAGGACCTCAAAGGAGACATGGCTGTGGGTCATGGCTTCATATGACACTCACATGTTGCAACATGTGTACATTTATCAGGGTCGTCCATTGGGTGTCCAATAGACTACCCCACCCTACTTACAGGTCTCCATTGAGCACCCGTTGGAAGTGCTAGGTATCAGATCTTTTGGTCGCCGCCCAGGTCATCCTTTTAACCTCCCGCGCTGTGTCTCCTTCATCGAGGCAAGCTGACCAGTCGCTGGTCGCGGTCAGCCGCGAAGCCGAAAACGGTCGCGGTCGGTTCGGTTTCGGGGCGATGACACTGCGGTGCTGCTTTGGGGTCAAAATGATGGCTCGGGTGGGTTTCAAAAACTAGAAAGCACGCTGGATAAGGAGAGGCTGGCATACGGATTTGGCGATCTATTTGTGGGCTTTTTTGTTTGCAGCAACAATGGTCAGCATTGCCTTTGGGACTGCGCACAGATTGTGGGGTGACCCCAAAAGGAGCAACAGGGTGGGCTCGATGGCCTTGCAGGCTCTTGCAGGCCCAGAAATGCTGACCCTACATACTCGTACCTTCCCTCCTCTTTCCCCCGCAAAAGAGCACCACCCGCTGGACAGGCCAGCGACCCGCCCGTGCTGAAGAAGGCGGGTCCGGTGGGACACGGCGGTTCGTCTGCGGCGGCCCCGGCGAGCGCGTGTAAACATGACAACATGCGAGCGTGCGCTACAAAGCAGTTAGGCAGTTAGGCAACACAACTCCAGGAAGCCTCTTCCTTCTCCTCTTGGCATGCTCCCCTTTGTGCTGTGGGGCATGGATCTCACTAAGGCACAGGCTAAAACGAGATGGCGTGAAACCATTTCCACGACTTTGTGGGGACCCCCCTGTTTGATGACCTTGGCTTGAGGAAGCGGGATCAACTCGAGGTGAGTATCCCCCACATAAAAAAAACATCCAGGTGTGGCCAAAGTCGGAGAGGGCATGTAGGGACCCGGACAGATTTCTGAGCTTGGACCGGTCTGGGGCGATGGTTGCCTCGTCAACGCCGTTCCCTCGGGCGAACGAGCTAGGGAAGTGGTCAAGTTAGGGAATTCCAATGCTCAAGATTTTCACCATGCGATCGGCGATTTCGCACGTGCGACGAGCGAACGAAGCTCAGGTTGGCTGCAATGGAACAAGCTCTGGGTGGGTTTATTGATGAAGAGTCTACATTCGGTTGACCATGTCTGCTCAGCTCCCTTCGACCTCGTTCGCCACACATGCAAGAACCGAACAACGAAGCGCAGCGCGCAGGACCTGCTCTCGGGCGCAGGCGTGGGCCGTGGGAGGTCTCCTGTGGCCGAGCTGGATTCGTGGATTGGGCAAGCTTCCCGGGGGTTGTGGCGCCTGGGAGGTCTCCTTGATTTGAGCTACACACCCAGATGGATGGATCGAACCCTCCACCTGGAGCTCTTCCACCCTGAAGACCGCGAGTGAGACCAACACCAGGTGGGTCCAAACAGGTCAAACCGTTCGGTCTCCAGTGCCATGACCCACCAGCCGGTTGAAGACAGCATCAAGAGACGCCAGGTTGGCTTCTCGGATGTTCGGCCTGGCATTGATCGCTTGATCTACAGGATGACTCCAACAACTCCACTGTTGTTGCCAGGAATAAACAGGTCCTTCTGGCATAGTCCAGTGGTTTCTAAAATTGATGGGTGCGGCTCCAAAAAGATTACAGCCATCTGGGGCCAAAGCTTTTTATTTACTTTATTCCCGAATGCGTAGCGAAGGGTTCTCGTTTAACTCTTGGGGGTTTGGGGGTAGAGCCTTGTTCGCGATCCGTTGTTTCTACGTCCGCAACCGTCCGCAACCGTTCGCAACCGTTCGCAACCGTTCGCGGCAGAGCGCTAAGGCGCTGCCATTGGGGGAAGCTTTTGCAAGTGACTTTTCATGGATGTGTCACGTGTCAGTTTGCGACGTTATTCCATTGTGATTTGCATGAAAATGACATGTCGCGCAAGAAACGTGATGCATTTCGCTGCACAGGCGCAGCGTTTTGTGAGATCCTCAGTTTGCTACGCAGTTCCATTTGGATTAGCGTTTGGAGAGTCGTGTTTTTGGGGTGTTGGATGTGGCCGTGCCATTGGGATTTGCGTTTCAGGGTGTGGCATCGAAGCTCTGTTTTCGTGACCAGTCTCAGCTGAAATGGCGATTTTGGTGGATGGGAGTGTGTTCAGAACGGGTCGAAATCATTCCAAACGTGTGGTGTGGTGCAAATTTTGTTGAAGCTCACATGAGATGATATTGTCACTTTTCGTGGCAGGCGCAGTACTTTGTGCGGATTTTGAAGTGTGGAAGTGCGATTTTCGTGGCAGGTGCAGGGAATCGTGAGGTTGCGAGGTGTGACGGAGGTGACATTTCGTGGCAGGCACAATACATTGTGCGCGTTAGACGTGTGGATGCGAAAAGATTCGTGGCAGGCGCAGGGATTGTGAGGGTGTGAGTTGTGGTAGAGGTGAATGTCGCTGTCACAGTGGGATTGGCGTGTGAGCGGGTATTGTTTGGAGGGGCTGGACTCGCGAAACTGCTTGGCAGGGCTGCGTGATGTGTGTGCTCCGATGGGTGTTTCCGCTTGACTTTTGGAGGAAGTCTCGTACGAAATGCTCGTTTTGCAGACTTTGACATTGAGTCACTGCGTCACTTGTTGAGTCGCAGACCCGGACTGATCACTCGCCCAAGGAATCACTGTCGCGTGGCGTTTCGTAGGTCTTGGTGTTTTCCGGAGGCATAATTTAGGCAACGTTGCCGCTGCTCCATTCTTCTCCAAACAGGTGTTTGGGTTCTGGGCCGGGTAGACACCCCAACTCCTGCCAGTCAGAGGTCAAATCCCTAGATTTCTCGCATGAGTGATTCCGATCACTTTCCGTTAGGTACCTCGTATAGGACTTCCAAGAGAGGTTGACCGTGGAAACCTATATATCGGTGCCTTCAAAGAACGGTTTTTTTCGATCAATGGGCAATGATTTTCTGCAATGTGTTGGCGTGCAGATATGTGGCTGTGAGGTGCCCCAATGTGGCCGCAGTCAACCAACCGTTTGATTTCCAAGGTAACTATTACCACCAGAATTTCCAGGTCTATGCTTGATGGCAAAGATCAAACGCCTACGAGGATGCAGCCCATGGGTGTTTGAGTGGAACTACCATCCTCATACACTGCGCTCAGTCTGAAGTCAAGCAATATGGATACACAGTGTTGTGGCTCACCAGGTTGAGATTCCAGCTGGAAAATACTATGCGAAATCCGGTGTTTCCATTCATGTTGCACGTCAACATGGAAGACAATCTCAGAGTAGTTTTTGTGTGTGATGAGTTACTTGCTGGTGTTGCAGCCCAACCTCCAGCTGGGCCCACTGGTGGAGTAATCCCACCTGGTTACGAAAGGAGTTTCAGGCAAGCATTGCGACGCCTGGCCACCACGGGATGCACCACGTATAAGGGCAGAATGCTGATGCACATCTTCTTCACCTCCGACAACTGGTGCTGCTCTCAACCCGGAGTGCAAGATCTCACCACAAGCTGGAGGATCGACCAATCTTGGAATGCCGGCGGCTTGACTGATGCCACCTGGCAGAAATTGATGCTTTATGTGACCGGACACAACATAGACATAGTATTCAGGGCACCCGTGAGTTTTGGAGGAAGTCTCGTACGAAACGCTCGTTTTGGAGACTTGGCACGTGACTTTTGGAGGAAGTCTCGTACGAAACGCTCGTTTTGGAGACTTGACATGTGACTTTTGGAGGAAGTCTCGTACGAAACGCTTGTTTTGGAGACTTGACGTGTGACTTTTTGGAGGAAGTCTCGTACGAAGAGTGCCCTACAAGAGTGTCCCACAAGAGTGTCCTACAAGAGTGTCCCACCAGAGTGTCCCACGAGAGTGTCCTACAAGAGTGTCCCACAAGAGTTTCCTACAAGAGTCTGTCACAAGAGTGTCCCACAAGAGTGCCCTACAAGAGTGTCCCACAACAGTGTCCTACAAGAGTGTCCCACAAGAGTGTCCCACAAGAGTTTGCTACAAGAGTGTCCCACAAGAATGTCCCACAAGAGTGTCCCGTATGAGTGTCCCACGAGAGTGTCCCACAAGAGTGTCCCGCAACAGTGTCCCACAAGAGTGTCTCACAAGAGTGTCCCTTAAGAGTGTCCCACAAGAGTGTCCCACAACAGTGTCCCACAAGAGTGTCCTACAAGAGTGTCCCACAAGAGACTCCTACAGGAGTGTCCCACAAGAGTGTCCTACAAGAGTGACCCACAAGAGTGTCCTACAAGAATCTCCGACAAGAGTTTCCTACAAGAGTGTCCCGCAAGAGTGTCCCACAAGAGTGTCCCACAAGAGTGTCGTACAAGAGTGTCCCACAAGAGTGTCCCACATGAGTGTCCCACAAGAGTGTCCCACAAGAGTGTCTCACAAGTGTGTCCCACAAGAGTGTCCTACAAGAGCGTTCTACAAGAGTGTCCCGTAAGAGTGTCCCACAAGAGTGTCCTACAAGAGTGTCCCACAAGAGCGTCCTACAAGAGTGTCCCGTAAGAGCGTCCCACAAGAGTGTCCCGCAAGAGTGTCCCGCAACAGTGTCCCACAAGAGTGTCTCACAAGAGTGTCCAACAAGAGTGTCCCACAAGAGTGTCCCACAAGAGTGTCCTTTTAGAGTGTCCCACAAGAGTGTCCCACAAGAGTGTCCTACAAGAGTGTCCCACAAGTGTGTCCTACAAGAGTGTCCTTTTAGAGTGTCCCACAAGAGTTTCCTACAAGAGTGTCCCGCAAGAGTGTCCCACAAGAGTGTCCCACAAGAGTGTCCTACAAGAGTGTCCCGTATGAGTGTCCCGTATGAGTGTCCCACAAGAGTGTCCCACAAGAGCGTCTCACAAATGTGTCCCACAAGAGTGTCCTACAAGAGTGTGCTACAAGAGTGTCCCACAAGAGTGTCCCACAAGAGTGTCCTACAAGAGTGTCCCACAAGAGTGTCCTACAAGAGTGTCACGTAAGAGTGTCCCACAAGAGTGTCCTGCAACAGTGTCCCACAAGAGTGTCTCACAAGAGTGCCCCTTAAGAGTGTCCCACAAGAGTGTCCTATAAGGGTGTCCCACAAGAGTGTCCTACAAGAGTGTCCCACAAGAGTTTCCTACAAGAGTGTCCCACAAGAGTGTCCCACAAGAGTGTCCCACAAGAGTGTCCCACAAGAGTGTCCCACAAGAGTGTCCTACAAGAATATCCGACAAGAGTTTCCCACAAGAGTGTCCCACAAGAGTGTCCCACAAGAGCGTCCCACAAGAGTGTCCTACAAGAGTGTCCCACAAGAGTGTCCCACAAGAGTGTCCTTTTAGAGTGTCCCACAAGAGTTTCCTACAAGAGTGTCCCGCAAGAGTGTCCCACAAAAGTGTCCCACAAGAGTGTCCTACAAGAGTGCCCCACGAGAGTGTCCCGTATGAGTGTCCCACAAGAGTGTCCCACAAGAGTGTCCCACAAGAGTGTCTCACAATTGTGTCCCACAAGAGTGTCCTACAAGAGTGTGCCACAAGAGTGTCGCGTAAGAGTGTCCTGCGGCCGAGTTCCACTCCACGGAGCACCACATGGCAGAGCAGCAGGACTCTCTCGACAGGGTCAGGAGGGGTGCGCACTCTGCCGCTCCGAACAGATCCCTGAAGCACGCGAGGGAGGCCGACATGGTGCTTGCAGGGGTGTGCGGGACGAAGGGGTTTGACGCGTCAGACCTGATCTTGGCGCTGCTCTCACACTTCGCGATGGATGCGCCCCTGGGGAGGATGGCGTGGACCCTCTCCGAGAGGGCCGCCGGGGTGGCATCACTCACGAGTGCTCACGCCATCGGGTCGCGCTTGAGAGCGGCCTACCCGTTCTGGTCGGTCTACGAACCGTTCCACGCCTACAGCCTGAAGCTCTTCGACTGCGATCTGGACTGCACTGACATCCCTATAGGGACATCGCCGTTGGATGTGCCAAGTTTGCGTCGCATTTATTCCCAGAGGCGGCATCTCGCAGTGCCGTGGCATTGGAGAAGAGGGCTGAAGTTTTGATAGGCCTCTCGTCCGTGGCCCGCTCCATGCTGGCACAAACGGAAACGTTGTCCGACACCGTTGCGATCAAGAAGCATGCGAGCGCCACATTCACGGACCGCTTCCTCCTGCCGCTGGAGTCTATGAGGGATGTTCGGGAGACCCTGATCTTCAGAGCCGGTGCTCAGCTGTCCATTGCACGGGCATCGCTCATGGCGGCCAACAGGAACTATTTTGCCCAGGCCGTGGGGTCCTACCTGCCACCATTCCCGTCTTCTGTATGCGGGCGAAACCATCGCTTCAACCTGCGGAGTGCAACAGGGCGATCCCCTAGGCCCTTTGCTGTTTTCCCTGGCGCTTCAGCCGGCTTTGGTTGCGGCCCGGGGGCACTGCGACGTGTGTTTCGCGTACTTGGACGATCTGGTCATGACGGCATATGCAAGCCAACTCGCACAAGGCCTCCAAGCTTTGCAACATGTCACGTGCAACATCGGGCTCCAGCTGGAACTATCGAAATGTGAACTGGCAATGCTCCAGCTTTTCCCCACCTCAACACCACGGGCAACTTTTCTTTCTTGGGGGCTGCCATTGGAGATGAGGCATATTGCAATCGCCACACATTTTCGGCACGAGTTGAGCCGGCCAAGCCATGCCTCCAAGCCTTGGCCGATCTCCCAGATGCCCAGACGGCGATGCTCCTCCTCCGGCATTGCCAGTCTCACGTCAAACTCACCCGTGCCACGGCCATGGCCCAGCGCTTCAAGCCTTTGATGAGCAGGCGCAAGCCTGCCTCGAACAAATTGGGGGGCTGCCCTTGACCCAGAACACCTGGCTGCAAGCCAGTCTCGCTATCAAAGCTGGCGGGCTGGGTCTTCGCAGCACTGCCTTGCATGCCCCTGCGGCCTACATTGCGTCCATCACCCATCTTGCTGCCTCGTGCACGGAGCTTGACCCTACCTATCGGGTTGTGCCTCCCCCGGTCCACCAGGCTTTGACCTTATACAACCAAGTCGTTTTGCCTGAGGATCAAATCCACTCGTTGGCCCCGTCCTACCAACAACGGGACTTGTCGGCCACAGTGGACAAGGCGCAGCAGGCCCACTTGATAGCTGCCACCACTGGCGAAGCAGCCAAAGGCCACCTCCAACTGGTCCAACAACCCGGGGCCGGAGCGTGGCTCACTGCCTTACCAGCTGACAATCTCGGCCTTCACATCAACACCCATTTGTTCCGAGTTCTCCTCCGACTGAGATTGCGCCTTCCCATTGCACCGTCCGACGGCTTTTGCCCTCTTTGCGATGGGGTGGCGGATTCCTTTGGGGACCACGCTCAAGTATGCCCATGTGGTGGAGACCGCGGCAAAAGACATAACCGGTTGCGGAACTTCTTTGCCGCCGAGTTGGCTGCCGCTGGCCTCAGCCCAGAGCTAGAGAAACCTGGCTTGCTTCCTGCTCGGCCGGAGGATTCGGGCCTATGCGAAGCTGGAGTGTCGTTGAACCAGGCTTCCGCACGTCGACCTGCCGACGTGTGGGTTCCAGGCTGGGGGCTCCATGGCCCGGCTGCCTTCGATTTTGCAGTTTCCAGCGGACTTCGCTCTGGCGTGCTCCCTTCCACTGTTGGCAACGGCGGTCATGCTGCGCTGGTTTACGGGGAGCGTAAACGCATGCACCAACGAACCGAAGCCCAGTGCCGGGCACAAGGCTTACAGTTCTTGCCTATAGTTGCCGAAGGATGCGCTGGGGGTTGGGGGCCCACGGCCATGGCTGTCTTCCGGCAATTGGGGAGCTTCCTTGCTACTCGAACCGGTGACTCCACCAGCAAGATGACTGAGCAATTGATGCAAGGTTTGAGCGTCACCTTGCAACGGGAAAATGCCAGAGCCGTAGTCCGCCGCCTCCCCGACGACTCTGCTTCCTTCAACGCTTTGTCCGAGCCATGACCTTGGTCACTTCGTGAACGCTTGCCTTCCTGCGAGAGCCTGTTTTTTGTATTTTGCGGGACTGTCTCTGGCCTTGCCCTGGCTTGCGCCTATAAGGACAACCAGCTGGCCCTTAGAGCGGCTCCGGTTCTTCCTTGATGCTTTCACTTCCTCTGGCTCCGTACAGAGTGCGAGTCCCGAGGTTGTGCCTGCGTCACCTTTTTTTTTGTCCCTCTCGCTTTGGTGTGGCGGGCTTCCGGCGGAGGGACCCTCTCCTGTTGCGAGCTCGCCGTTTTTTTCCACCAATTCCCTATAGTTTCTGCGGATTGGCACCCAATCGCGGTGTCTTCCATGTATAAGGATGTTGTAGAATGTTGATCACCATAGGGTGAAAGCATGTAATTACTTGCATTTCTGAGCCGCCTTCAATTTACGCACGTTGATGTGAGAACGTGAGACCAGATCCTATTACCTGTAACAGTCAGTAAACGATTATCATCATTGTTGAACAATCATCATCATCATCATCGTCATCATCATCCACTGTTACAGGTAACAGGATAGACCCAACATATATAATTACCTAGAACCTGACTGACCCCTGTTTTGGAGCCACAAAGGCTCTATATCTATATATACACACCGGGAACCCGATTGATCCCTGTTTAGATAGGAAGTTTGGCCATATTTTGGGTGGTTGGTGGTCCAAAATAGAGGTCATGACCAGGGTTCTAGGTATAAATGATTTTTGGTTTCCAAGCAATGTTGGAGGGAGGACCATCCATGTCGCATGTCCATCCCGCCTTCGCTGTGGGAACCGGCGCAGCGACAAGTTCTCGGGACCAGAACGGATGGAACGGATGCAACGGATGGAGCTTCGAACGGACATGTGGTTGAGTTTCTTTTTGGTACATGTTTATTGCTCCGACGTGCAATGACACTGCTTGATGGGTTTTGTCAAGCAAGGCAATGACACTTCGACCTTCAACGGTTTTAAAGCAATGCCACGAGCAATCATTTCAGCTTGCAAGCAAGAAGGGGTGTGTCGAAGATTTGGAGAGCAATCCAGACGGTTTTTCTCGACGCTTCGCCTGTGCGGTGGCAGGCGAGTTTCAAATTCGCTGGGTGTCCTTGGCTGCAGACTTTTCGGGGCTCAGGGAATCGGTTTGACACTCTGACCATGAGAACTGGGGGGTTTGTTCACACCTTGTGTTCCGTGTTAGGGCCATACCGAAGCGGGCGATCCGCCCTCCGCCCTCGACCTGTTGTCCTGTGCCGAAGAGGGCGATGTTTTTGGGCGTTGAGGGGGCGACCAGTTTCAGGGAGAAAAAGAGTTGTTGATTGTTTGAAGATCTTCCATCCTATAGAGCAAAAAAGGATCGTCCTACCAATTGAGTACCTCCAAGGGCACTCAAACTGTTCTGCACTGATCTGCACTGCAAGATGTATTGTCCAAGGTCACCAGGCAAAAAGCAAGGACGATTCCCATTGAATGCAGGACTCGATGAAGTCACTTCATCAGAATCTCCATGTGGGTGTGTATGGTGTGTAGTTGGAGAGGTCTCTGGACCCCATTGGGCCCCGACTGGCCTTCATGGCAGACTGGTCTAGCCATCCACCATCCAGACATCAAGCTGCGAGGTCTCCGAGTAGGGTCGGTCTCCGCACCCCGATGGGGTCTCCGGGTCGGGTCGGTCGGTCTCCGACTCTCCGACTCTGCGTCCTGTGACCAAAAAACCCCTGCGACGAGCAACGCACCGCACGACCGAAACATTCTCGTCGTCTTCACGCGAAGAAACGAAGTTGAAGGAACCTTCCCGCTAGGCTCACGAGGCTTGTGATGGAGTCCTGGCAGTGAAACAACCCGCCAAGCTCATCCAACAGCTGGAACACCATGGATAGACGTTGGTTTGTGGACCCTACAGCCGACCCTGTGCCGTTTTGGAGCAAGACCTTCTTCTCGCGCATGCAAGGCTCCCCCCGCAAACATCGGTTTCACTGCTTCAAAACCGGAAACCAACACCCGAAGCAGTTCAGAACTCTACCTAGCTATAAGGATACACTGGGGTGCCAAAAGTTGCGCTTCTTGACTTCTAAAACATCACAAACCCTTTCCCCTTAGAATCCTACGTGCAACATGTCGACACCTCAGTTGCGGTCAGATTTCCACACCTGGGGTGTGGAAATCTGACCGTGCTGTACCTGCCACGCAAAATGGACGTGTTAATCCGATCCGCTGTAGACCGCAAGTGTCATGTTGGAACAGAGTAAGAAGCGTAAACTTTAGGGTTCTTGAAGTATGGTTGCCAGTGACAGTCCCACAGTCGGAAACAGATACAGTAATCACTAGTTGATGAAAGGCCTTTGCAAGCCACTACTATCCACTTGGCCCATCTTCATGGGGTATACTACCCAAACTCCGCCCCGTTAAGACCATGGAAGACCGGGTGTGGGGTGGCCGCTCCATGCCGCTGCATGCCGCTCCCTGAAACAGGTGAGTCAGGACCTTCCAGTGGCCCTGGCATATGCGCCCAAGACCAGGCGGTGAAACTCCCGGACAAATGGAGGGCACAGGGGACGCAGAGATTGTGTCCCAGCTAGAGGGTGTTTCGATATGCCCTCTATCAGGATGGCCTTTTTTGTGAATTAGCATATCCTATGACTTCAATCAATTTCCAGTGCTGAAGTGAACCCCACCTGAATTAATACTTTGATTGGGGGCGGCTGGACAACAAGAACCACCATGAAGCACCTCATAATATTTCCAGGAGCCAATGTGGTTGCGAAGCTAGATTTGGATAGAAACTGGCACTTTAAAAACCTTTGAAATAGATCGGAAGATATCAGAACTGAAGTTGAAAACGATCCCGTCAAGCAGACATTAATTCAACTTATGACACTCTGCGAATCAAACATTAGGTGGAGATAAGTGGAGTGGGTGTACCTACCTCAAATTAAATTGTAGTTAATCAAGGATGGTGGGACGTGGCGGTGGTCGGCGGTGGTCTACGGTAGTGGGTATTTTTCGGGCAAGACGTGTCGTTGCTGTCGTTGCTGTCGGCGTTGTTGTTGTTGTTGTTGCGGCGGCGGCGGCGGTGGCGTTGGAGTGTGTGTGTGTGTTTGTGTGTGTTCTTTTTTCTTTTTTAAACTACTTTTTTTCAATATGGGGAAAGGGACAGCAACAGTGTTTTCTCGGTGCTTTTGAGATTTCTTTGGATGCGTTGCATAATTTTGGAAGTCGTGTGGTTGATGGGTGATGCGTGATGTGGTCTCCAGTGGCTATTCCAAACAAAATGGCTGGATTGGTGTGTGCTTGAATTAGGGAGACTTCCCTGAAAAGCAGGAAGAAGGAAACTAGATCCCAAACCTATTTTTTCGGAGGGTCGTCCACGGCATCCCAATTCAGCCAAGGCCTCAAGAAAGAAACCATTGGTTCGGGAGTCTTCAAGTTCAAACCCTTATCAGCAGGAAGTACGTGGATCACTGGAAAAAAACCCTTTTATGGGGGGACGTCACGGTTGTGGAGACCCATGGTTCACATCATGGTTGAGGAGACACATCATGGTTCACTCCTACCCAGGAAGTACATGGTGGCAAAGCTGCAGGTCCTACATGTGGCTGCAGACAACATTGAATCTACATCTCAAAGGTTCTAGGACGGACATATGTGCAATGACTTGAGGGACTTGTGGAACATTGTTCATCCACATTGACCAGAATATCATCTACATCCATCCATCTACAGCAGCCCGCCTACTTCCGTTTCTGCTGGTGGCACTGCTCCGCACGGGTGGGACCAAGAGGAAGTTGCTTCGTCGAACCGCAGAACGCTTCGCTCCGTCGAAGCGCAGGCGCCACAGTATCTTCCTCCTCCGCCGGCGGCGCATGGAAGCCGTGGAAGGTGGTGGATCGGTCGGAGCGGGTGGTGGGTGGGTGGGTGAGTGGGTGGGTGGGTTTGGTGGGCCGGTCAGAGGAGAGCAGCAGCATTTCAGGCGCTTCAGCAGGTGCTTCTAATTGAATTTTCCTGATGATGTGTATTTTTCCTTCCAATGACCACCCTGACCACCCACATGGTGCTGCGGAACCACATGATGTTGTGTCGTCCGTACCTCGTCACCTAGTCTGACTCGACCTTGCCTTTGTGTTTCCTGGACGAAAGACCGAGATGTGTTGGGAACAGCGGATTGGCCAGTTGAGATCGTGGAGGCCCGGACGGAAGGCTGTTTGTTTTTTGCTGCCCAGGATTGCTCCGAGCGTTTGGGCGAGGGAGACAAAGCCGGAGATCCATCGCCCAAGGGACCCCGCGCCGATGCTCGGATCGAAGGCACTGCTAATGGCAATTCGCACTCGTGAAGGTGAAAGACTCTTTAAGAGAATGCTCTGACCTCAAAAAGGGGACCTATTTGAAGGGAATAGCTTCCTTTCCTTCACTCAGAAAAGGTCGAGTCAAATTTCTTAAAAAGAAGCATCGGACCTGCTCGTGGCATCTGACAGTGCGGTCGCGCGTGTTAGACGTGACGAAGACGTGTGGAGAGACGAGGGGGTTTGGATGGGGGTTTTTAGAGCTTTCAATCCATCCTCACTGAAAGAACCGGCTTCAGAGCAACTGTCTCCTTGGTTGGAACTCTTGCAAATGAATCAGTGAAAACACGCATGTTTTTGCCCCGTGCTGTTCCAAGCGCCTTTCCCCAACACTCCATGTCTTTTGACATCAGCTTTCCAACGGGACGAGAAAGGCATGCCAAAGTCCGGCAGATTGGACACCAGGAAGTGCTGTCACGAACGTCACCAACTTCCTGTGGCATGCTTTAAAATCAAAATGGGCCGCCGCCGAGAAGCTTACTGACTATCGTTGCCGTAATGACCTTGCAGATGCAAGACCATGGGCGGAGGCGATTGCAATGCATGTATCTTTGCAGAAGAGTGGACGAGAGCGAGGGAGAGCGTGAGGACGCGTACCTGGCACGCATCTATATACAGGTCCCGTTTCCAACTTCGCGTGCGCACGAGGCCCAGTCAAGGCTCAGTGCCTTGCAAGCCAAAGTTCCAGCTGACTCATTCGCAGGGTCCGACCCCCTGGCCCCTGGCACAGGGCTTGCCGGTTCGCGCTGGTCGCGCAGTCGAAGTGCTAGGAACACAGTGGTCTCCGGAAGCGTTAGCTCAACACAACGGAAGGTAGAGAAGGGAAAAGAGTTGTGCCCAAGCTGTTTGGATGTGAATTTCTACTCACTTTGATCCATTCCCCAATCCTGTAGAAGCTGAATCACCTTCACCCGTCGGGCGCTTTTGCTCCGACCTGGCCCGAAGCCCTCTGGAGAGGCCTCGGAACGGGTGGACTGCCCGAGTGCGCTCTGGTAGAGCCAGCGGCTTCGGAGGCAAGGGAAAACAGATCCGAAACAGATCGGACAGTCGCGTAAGGAGTGATTCATTGAGCATTCCCCTAACAATGTGTTTCAGGGGTTATTTGGAGGGTCTCCTTCTGATACTGCTCCCGCTGATAGAGCGTGGGACTCCCTGTAGCGTGCAAGGGTGTTGCTAGAAACCAGGCAGATGGAATGCACCGCGGGAAAGCCTGTCTGCCTATTTGGGAACGCCGTGATACATCAAAATGCATTGCCAGACAGCCTTTGCTTGGAGGTTATTTCTTGTGATTTCCTCTCCAGAAGCATCCGTTGCCACTTACTCTGCCCTTCCAACAGGTCTTTTTGCAGCAACTCCACATCGTGGCAGAAGAAGGAGACGTCCTCTTCGCACGGACGGTCGTCCGACTCGGTCGGCGTTCTCCACGTCACGGTGTTTGACAGAACGTGGGGCCCCGCTCGAAGGATCCAGGCCCGAAACAATGGCAAGGAGATTGAAGGGACAAACCCTGGATTTCCCCTACTATGGAGGTATACTATGGAGGCCATGGTAGCCTAGTAGCTGTGGAGGCTTCAAGCAGGAATTTTTGGGGCAGATTTTCTCGGGTGTCGATGTTTAGTTGGGAGCCAAAGATAGACAAAGAGAGAGAACCTTGGATGTAGAAGATTCGCCAGTGTTTGTGTGGCTTTCTAGGGGGAATGATGGGGATGGTATGTATGAATTGTATTGAAAAGAACACCGTCCCTTTAAGGAACAGCCGTATGTTCATGCCTTTTTGTTCTGGTCCGTCGCCACTTCGGTTTACTGTGATTCAGGTGCCGACAGGTGGCGAACCAGATGCCGGTCCAGCAGTTTGCCACCGGACCTTTCTGTGAAGCACATATGGCTGTGGGTCATGCCAGCGGGGGCCCGGGGGCACCCTGGTTTTTACAACTGAAAATGAACAGAATAGATATGTATATATATATATACTATGGGAGGTCAACCAACCACTGTGAAACTGGCTCCGGGTGCCATGACGCCATATGATGCAGAACAGCAGCCGGGGGTGGTATGGATAGCACATTGAGGAACGTTTTTCCCATCCGTTTTCGTTTGCCAATGTGTTGAGAGCGCCTGTCCCTCTGTCAGATAGCCATAAATTGACATCTTTTTCCTAAAACGGTAGAGGTTATAAGCTAAGCTGTCAAGCTTAGGCAACAGAAGGTATAACGGTAGGTCCGGTAGGTTATATTGACATAAGCCAAGCTTAGCCTCAACATGTTATCCTCAGCCTAGCCTCGTCAACGAAAGGCGCAGGGCTTGGACCGCGTGGTCCGGTGCGTGGTCCGGCACCACCTTCGGTCCGGCCGCGGTCCGGTGCCAGGACCTTGTTGTGAGTTGGACGATGTGAGTCTCCTGGCACCTGCCTCCCGGTGCATGGATTCCTGGGATCCAGAGAGGTTTTGAGAATGTTGAGGAGGGGTTTTTAGGCAGCCAAGTGACATCGGAACCCAAATCCCCAGAATCCCTAAGAATCTTGTGGGATCTCTGATGCCACATCCATCCTTTCAATAAGGTCAAATCCCCGGAATCAAAGGTGGGTGTGGGTCGACGGGCAAAGGGTCAAACAGAGAACTACTAAAAAAGGTATAGGTTGACACCGTATTCTTTTGCGAAATGTGATTTGTCACCAAAAAGAAGTGTCGAGGCATCGGAGGGTTCTTGGATCGGTGGGTGACGCCATTCTATATACAAAATCTAGACCAAGCATGGAGCTGCGTTGCTCCACTAAAACACCAAGGCTTGATCAAAGCAGCGCGGTCTCGGAGAAATTCAAGTTGCCCTAGAGGCCAGAAATCACCATTTGGCTGCACACTGGTGAACTGTGGCACTTGTCTATTTGACTGGTTAGGACCATAGCCTATTGAGGACCAATTTTTTCGAGAATTCTCTTGAAAGGTCTTACAGTACTGCGAATGGTTTGAACACACACCATTTCTTCGAGCCCCTTGAGTTTGTTTGTGATGCCAGTGACCCATCCGCCTTTCAGTGCCAAGGATTGCAACTTCCCCTGCGAACGCAGCGAGAAGGTGCGGGAAGCTCCGTCACGGGGGTTGAAGGGGGGCAGCTCTGGATGAATGGACGGATGTCGATGACCTGTGCAACCAGTAGATCCTTCTCGGTGTTGTCACGGTTTCCTGGGAGAGATATGATTTGCTGAATCCAATTGAAGCTCAAACTGAAATCTGTTTAGGGACCCGCTGGTCATCTCCCCTTGCATTTGGCTTGGGCTTCAGCTTTTAGCAAGATGGCAAGCTGGGCTGGCAGGATAGGCCGTTTTCAAGTGTAAGCGCATTGAGCAATGGCCACTGCGAGAGTAGAAGTAGCTCTTTGCGGCACATCCCTCAACCGGAAACAGATGAGCGATCTGCTCTGAGCAACGATACGCTGCCAGCTGAGAAACGGAGGAGGGTTGAGGGAAACGCAGGCTCAGGTTCAGTTCGATCAAGAGAAGCTGCCTTTGGATCATTGAGTTGGAATGGACCTATTCTGAGAGGAGGTGCAACAAGAAGGCAGTTCACAACTTTCTAGCTCGGTACAATTGCAGACCTGGGTATGGATTATTCCTACACCACACAGCCATCCCGTGATGGGCATTGTATGTGCCTAGCTGGAATGACAAAGTCTATGAAGGAGAAGGTGAAGATGAGATGAGGGAACCAAAGACCTAGCTCACCAATACTACCTCTCTTACAGAGAGAAAGACTGCGGCGACCTGCTTTGGTCTGGGAATGGATGAGTGAAGAAGGGTTCGGACTTTGCGCTGCGCAGCGTCCAGCGGTGGAACAAGCAGTGACCGCTGACATCGAGCACCGATGGGTGGGACCCGCGACCGATGGAAAGACATGAGGTGTTTTCGGGAAGATGGACATGACACGCCCCAAGACCGATAGATTTACCTTAGGTATCCTTTCCCTTCTTCCTTTCCGGTCGCGCCTGTCCAACAAAGGGGAGAATCTTTTTAAAAGATGTTAAAAGCTTTTCTGCAATTAAGCCATGTCCATGTGTGGAAGTCCGACCAAGTCTAGCCATCAACTTATCTGGGCGGCCTCTGGTTTGCCACTCAAGAATCCTTTTTCCAGAAGACCAACTTGCCGTGGCTTTGGTTTGCATTCCCACGTGCCTATAGAAAGACACACCTGTGCTGGAAACATTGCAACATCCACTCAAATACACTGTGCGCCTGAGACAGATGTGCAAGCAAAGCCACTGCGTGCAGGGCGGCTTGCTCATGGCGCTCTTCATCAAGAGCACTGGGCAGCTTGGTGTCCAAAAGCTCGGTGGGTTTTTGAGGGCAGAGATGCAGCCAGATGCGCCAAGCAGTTCGAGATTGGCCGATGACTTCGTCCACCTTTTTCCACTTTCCAAGGTCCAAGACTGACATCCTTTTCAGTTCCTTTAAGATCCTTTAAGATAGCAGGTTAGCAGGATGACAAAGAGCTGCACTGGCTTCGCGGTGTCCTTCTCTCCACCGCTCATCCGCGGTGGAGGCCGCTGTTCCAACCGCCCGTGGTTTTTTGGACCTCAACCGATTCTCCAGATGCGACAGGGGCAGCGTTGAGACGAACATCCCAAGGGGGGTAACGAGGTTCAACGGAAGGCTTCTCTGATCGCAATGATGCTGCATGCAGATGATGTTTATTTTTTTCGCATCAAAAAAGCATCGACAAAAGCACATAGTAGTTTCTGAAATCGACTCTGCTTCTTCTTTCGACGCCCCAACACGCACCACGACCCCAGACGACCGCCCACGCCCCGCGCCGCGCTGCTGCTTCTAGCGGTGCCTTCTCCAGGCGATGCCTCGTGCTGCGCCTGTGGACCGGAGAGGCGGAGTCCGACCCGTCGGGGCGACCGAAGCTCCGTCGGACGTCGGGGAAGATCGGAGGTCAGACCGGGGTCGGTGGCAGGGAAGCGAAACGGATCGAGCTTTCCCGAGCTTTTCCCCCTGATCGAACATGGTGGCTGTGATTTTTGAATTCATGGTTTTTCCAGGTGGAGTGACGCAGATGGTCTTTGATGCCTAGAGGGTCTTGATGGGCGAACACAAGGTGACCACCACCATGTCTTTGACGCATTTTTACGAGCCTCTTTTTGGCGCACCAAATCGAGCTTCAATGCTGATGCAGAAGTTGGATTCCGGGAGCCATTCTGTTCGTATGGGTCGTGAGGGGGGTGGTTTTTGGGTGGTCAAAACGGCACCACGTCGCAAGCCTCTCCTGCTCTTCCTCCGGAGTCGAAGACGACCTCTCCAACGCACCATGTTCTGTATCAATCTCTTCACACCCGAGCTTTGGGAAAAGAGAGCGACGGCTTCGAAGAAAAGACTGATACCTTGGGACAATGTGTCAAGCATGTCGTCCAAGTGTCCAATCCATCTCACCTCTCATATTGGAGTTCCGACTCACCATTCCGGCCACATTTTGCTGATTGTTTTCTTGATAAAAGAGGAAAAACGAGACTATTCGTTTTATTCGTCTTTCTTGTTAGTCTTTCTTGGTCATTCTTTCTGTTACATCTTTCATTTCCACCAACCACGGTGCACGTTGTCCCCGCTCGTTGCCCCTCCATCCGTTGTTTTCGCGCTCCGCCAGGTCCTGTCGACAGTCACAGCGGTGTCAGCCATGGCACCGCTCATGCCAGGCGCGCGGGCGGGGAAACATCTCGTCTCTCAACGGGTTTTGTACGTCTCCGGTCGCAGGGTCGCCAGTCTGTCTGTCCGCCCCTCAAGAAGAGGTCGGCGAAAGGTAGGGCGACCTACTTGAGTGACCTGAGTTGGTGATTGTATATTTGCGTGACCTGATAAAACACAGGTGGAGTTGAGGGGCTTTCGGTTCCTTTGTTTCAAACACTGGGAGGATCGCTGTGGAATTTATAGACTAAGAAAGGCCAAACAAGTGGATCGCTTGAGATGGAGACCCACTTCTACTGACTGAACTCATTCTTTTGCTACTTCTGGTCAAGACCGCAAGGCACACAATCCTCTGAATGGAAGTGCCTGAAGACTATGTCTTCTGTTGATTGAGATTTTACAATTTCTTGGTGTTTCCTCTACCAACTACGGTTTTGCTACACCGTTCTGAAGCGCGCGCGACATACTGATCGACACATGCATGATTGGGTGGACATGTTTTCTTCTGCTGCTGGGAAACTCTTATCCCAAACCCCACCCAGAAGCTCTTCACTTCAAGTTGTGATTTCCCAAACACCGCCCTGGATTTGAGTCAGGAGTTTTAACGGGGGTCTAAAGCAAGCCACCGCCTCCTACCGCCCCCTTCCACCCCACCGGAGTCTCCACACCACTGACCCTTCCGCCGCCTCCGCCTCCTGCAGCAGCCTGGCACCTCCTTCGCACCCGTCGCGCGCGCAGGACAAGATCTTCTGCTTCGGACGACGGGGACCTTTGCCTTTGCTCCCTCGCGCTGGCTAGGCGCCGGGCCCACGGGATCCCACGGGGCGGGCGCGCGGAGCTTGGCGAAGGAATCGGGGGTCAGTTGGGGTGCTTCAGAAAAACGAGCCTTTTCGGGGAGGGGGCACGGTGTGTTTGAATTTGGGCGGGAGTACACGGAGTGCTTTGACAGCGCCCTCAACGGGAAAAGCCTGCAACATGAAGAGGGGGGGGAACCTTGATCTTCAGCAGCTGAAGCTCAGTCCGGTTTTGAAGATTTTATTACCATTGGCTTTAGACAGTCATGGAAGTGGAGGTGAACTCCACCTGTCTGGTCTGTGGATTGAGTTGCTTTGGTGACTGACACCCGACGTATCGGACGGATCGGACGATCGGACCAGATTCACAAAACCTCCAGTCGTGCTGCCCAGAGGCTCATTGGACCCTCAGTTCGCTAGGGTTTTGACCCTCGCAGCCAGGGTTTGGGACCTCAAACATGTAGCAGTTGGTTCGGGTCCATGAGCCTCTGGGTGACTCATAAATAAGGGGCGCTCTCTCTCCGCACGGTGTAGAAGGGAAGAGCGCCAGGTGTCCGATCCAGATGGCTGGCAAGTTCGCGCAGGGGTTGGTGAGTGGGGGATCAGGAGTCGTTGGAAGTCCATTTTTGGTTGAACCCTGCAAAACGTGGCAATGTCCATAATAAGAGTTTGTCCAATGCAACGATTCTCAATCAGTTGGCATGATTGTTGGAGGGACAACTCGCCCCTTTTTTTTCCGCTTGAATGGGCGAGTCCCAAAACACCACCTCGGATCCAGCGCCGGTCCGCCCCGCGTCGTCGCCGAAGTGCCAGTCGTCACCAGGCTCGAGTGGGGCTCGGTCCAAGTTGGGTTCCATGATGTTCCAATGGCAAAGGCCCTCGACACACCCAGAAAAACATGAACAACCGCACCATGTACATGTGACACAGCACCCGAAACCTGCCAGGTCACCAGACAAACGCACCTTTGAAGTCTCGAATTTCAGCCACCATTTCGGAGACCTGTTTGCCGTCAGAGACCTGTATATACCTAGAACCTGACTGACAGCTGTTTTGGAGCCAAAACAATCTTTTCCTACAATGAAAACACAGGTCAAATGGATTCTTTCTTTCGGCCGAGTGATATGCTTCCCCGCCGAACGACTTTCACCACTCTCGAGGCTCCCAGCAGTGCCGCCTGGTGCTGCGCGAGCGTGGCGCACCGCCGCTGCCGAGCAAGGCGCGGCTGCCCTCCGGACGCCGGGGGCCGGGTGGGACGGCGGAACATGGGATGAGGCAGGTGTAGGTGTTAGTATGATGGGCTGGGATGGCAGTGAAGGGTTTGTGAGTATACTTTCATTGTTTAAAACTTTGGCCACCTTCCACCATCCATGGTTTTTCACCAACTTCACACCAAAAACAACTATTTGCCACGTGGGATGGGGGTGAGCTTGGTTTCTTGACACATGTTTGTTTGCACCATGAGTCTTTCCTGCCCGGTGAGTTCCCCGTCGGCCTGTGAAACTGGCTTTTTGGCTGATGCGAACAGTCGGTCGTCTTCGCCGTGACCCGCAGCCATAATAAACCATCATTCATATACACCCTGGAAGACTAACATCCTGAAAACCATTGGTTGGTAGAGGAAAACCATCTTCCAGGGGGCCATTGTCAGGGTCTATGTTAGTTTTCGGGAGTGTACCCATTAACTATGAGATCGGATTTCTGATGCCATTTGCAAAACGGCGAAGACTGGAGACCGGAGATCCATCATTCTCAGAAGACTCTGGCGTCTCTCCCAGTGCTTTTCGGGCCACAGAGAAACATGTTCACCAAGCCCATTTTTGTGTGGGATGATGACGAACTATGAATGAATATCAGATCAATGACAAGATGAGAGGATCTTCTTTTTCATCTTCCAAGAACCTGTGAATTATGTTGTTTGCTGGGACCTTTTCGCGTGCTCGCGTGCCGCGACGGGGTTGACCGATGGACCGAAGGGCCAATTTGTATGCGGACCTGGTTGTGTTTTTGGAAGGTTCGTCCTTTTACTATTGGTTGGTTGATCAATAGAGGGGATACCTCCAAGTACGGCACCGTACGAAATTGAGGGATCCTCTATTGTTCCCAAAAGGACATCATTGCAGCATGTCTTTTGGTTTTCGGAAGGTGCCGTTGCCGAAGGGAGGATGGGAGTGCAGGAGTTCGGTGCCCATCCAGGTGCCCCTCTGTCGAACGAGCCCTGGATGGGACAAACCAAAGAAGAATCCGACATGGAGCTGCTGACACTGATGTTGATGAAGAAATCCACAGCTCAGTCAAGCAGCGAGGTGCATTCGCAAAGGGTCGGAGTGGAATTCTTTCAGCAAGTCGACTGAGTCAGGTCACCGAAGCTGTACGAAGTGAGGGGAGTGGGAATGCCCATACCACTTTCTTCATGACAAATAAAATGGAAAGCAGTCAATTGAGTCAATTCCCTTTCAAGTCCAAACAGCTCCAGGTAGCTCCTTGGACTTGAACTACCCTTAGCAAGCTTGAGGTAAAAACATAGAGCTCCAACAGCTTGCAGCCTCAAGTCCAAACAGCTCAGCTGCATGTCTTTACCTCAAGCTACGGCAGCTGTTTCTGTGGTCCCGGGTGATTTTCGCCCCCCCCCCCACACGAGGAAGACCGAAGACCGACCGGGTCCGATGACCTCGACGGCCGTTTTCGGTCCGTAGGATGCCTTACCACCCGACTGGGCCGATGAACTCCTTGACCCTTTGGACGGGAGAAAACGGTTTGGGAAGACGTTTTGGGAGGTGCAACAGGGCGGGAGTTGCGGAGTTTCAGGTGGTCCAAGATTCACTGTACGTGCTTTTTGCAAACGAAAATCTGAAAAACAACATGAGTCCAGGAATTACACACACAGCGCAACGAAATGAGCCGGACAATCTTGAGGAAAAGCCACATAAAGAACAAACACCAGAAACATGACGCCACTAGTCAGGCAACATGAGGCGTGTCCAAAACCAACGACAGAGTGCACTTCTTGCCTTAGCTTCTTAAGAAAGTTGCACTGAGTGTCGCCGTGCATGTAGAAGTGTAGGATGAGTGATGCCACTTGATGCCAGCTGCTAGATAAGTTTGTCGAACAGGGTTTTTATAAAGGAGTATGTTATCAGTTGTTGTCCAATTGCCACTTGGCACTGCAACGCTACCTGGCAACTGAAACACTACTGAGCACCCGATAGTCATGAGCCGGCTGTGTTCAATGCAGCAATGCCTCCAAGACAACTTTTTGACACACGTTCGACGTTGACTCTACTTGACACTTAACACTCATAGTCCAATGAAAGAGTGAACGACAATTCTAGTCTTCTTCTAGAGTCTGTGTTGCAACAGGATGCAAAATCGGATCAGCCAAATCATGCCAAACCAAAACGACACACCTTCTTGTTCGCAGTGCCCTCTAGTGGAGGTTACTTACGGTTCAACCGGTCACTTACACTGTGAATATCGAGCCAAGTGTCCATTTTGTCAAACCGATATAACGAGGACTATCGAGAATTTGCTGTTGACTGATAACATCCCACTTGAGCCAACGGAAATGTGAAAGACTGGGGGGGAAATAGTAGAGAGTCGAGCTTGAAAATCTGCGTCCTACAAGAGTATCCTGCAAGAGTGTCCGACAAGAGTGTCCCACACGAGCGTGCTGCAAGATTGTGCCACAAGAGTGTTCTATAAGAGCGTCGCAAAAGAGTGTCAAGCAAAAGCGTCGCACAAACGCGTCCTGCAAGAGTGCCTTAGAAGAGTGTCACCCCAGGATATCCTTCAAGAGTGTAATTGAAGAGTATCCAACAATGTTTGGCCGTTTGTGTTTGCGTATGTGTGTGCATTCAGTTTCATGAGCTCCATCTCGCTTTCTCAAGATACAAACGCCCTGAAAGATGTCGACTGTTTGGGGGGACATCTCCAAAGTCGCCCATTTTGTGGCGCGGTTCCATCTCCAATGAATACTCAAACAAGAAGCCTACAATTGTTGATAGCTAATACTTAATTTTTCGTAGTAGTGGTGGTCGTGGTGGTGGTGGTGGTGGTGGTGGTGGTAGTGGTAGTGGTAGTCGTAGTCGTAGTCATAGTGGCAGTGGCAGTGGCAGTGGTGGTAGTAGTAGTAGTAGTAGTAGTGGTAGTGGTAGTGGTAGTGGTAGTGGTAGTGGTAGTGGTGGTAGTAGTAGTAGTAGAAGAAGTAGTAGTAGTTAGTGGTGGTGGTGGTGGTAGTAGTGGTAGTGGTAGTGGTAGTGGTAGTGGTAGTGGTAGTCGTAGTGGTAGTAGTAGTAGTAGTAGTAGTAGGCGTAGGCGTAGGTGTAGGAGTAGGGGTAGTAGTAGTAGTAGTAGTAGTAGTAGTAGTAGTAGTCGTAGTCGTAGTCGTAGTGGTAGTAGTAGTAGTAGTAGTAGTAGTGGCGGTGGTGGTAGTAGTAGAGGTAGTCGTAGTGGCAGTGGTAGTGGTAGTGGTAGTCGTAGTGGTAGTGGTGGTAGTAGTAGTAGAAGTAGAAGTAGAAGTAGAAGTAGTAGTAGTAGTAGTAGCAGTAGTAGCGCCTACCCTTTTGGCTCGCTGTTCTTCTCCGTGGTTCGCTGCCGGGGGCTTCAGGAGTTGACGCGCTGCTCGGCGGTCTTGACCTTTGATAGGTGGATAAACGGGAGACAGCGATGTGGATGGAGAACGGTTGATCCATTTCAACAGAAGTACGTGGACAACGGTTGACCTGCCTTCTCACAGATTCAGATTTCATTTAGTTGACATGAAGAACCACCATTTTGGGGGGATGGGGAACACCAGGAACACCCCACGAAGAATGAACAAGTGGAGTGCGTTCGGTTCATCTGTAAATGATTCAGGGAAACGGCTCTTAGCTGGTTTAGATCATGACCTTCATCGTTTACTTCTCCTCATGTTTATGATGGTATTTTTCCCACCAAAAGAAACGACAACTTCTTGAGCCGATGGCTTTTCTGCCGCAAATCGACGGTTCACCCTGTGGGGCGGTGGGCGGCCAAACGGACATGCAGTAGTTTTCACCTCTTTTCTGGATGACTGTTTCAATGGATCCCTGGTGCCAACGCTTTTCCAGGGGTCTTCCGCCATCATTGTTCCAGGGAAAATTCCGGAATGGAGACCACCATTGTTCAGAAGGGGTTCTCGCAAACACCACAACCCAGACGCCGCAACCCAACGCAAGGATCTTCAACATGACGTCAAAAGTAAGAATTTAAGAAAGGATTGATGTTTTTCTGACGAAAGAGGGGCTGGGCTCAGGTGTGCACACCATCTCACGTATCTGACTGAAGCCGACTCTGTCCGTTGTTTCTGAAAAGACCTTTAAAGATTGACCCCAGTGAGAGGGTGCCTCGTGAAGGTGAAGGCCCATTAATCTTTGTCCCCAGCCCATTGAACAAATCTGTCGAAGGGATTGTGCCTATCACCTTTCCCTTATCCAAATTGTTTTCATTGTTCCACCATGTGGCGTGGGGTTACTTCCAAGCGTCCGGAACCGTCAGCGACGTGGGGGGACCTTTTAGAAGAAACGGATCGGTGAGCCAAGAAATCGAAGTGATACACACCAAGCCCATCAGAGCTCGGAGTGGTTTGGTTCGTCCCATCCAGGGGCTGTGGATGTGGTGACAGGGGCATCCGGTCCAATAGACACCCCTTTGTGACTCCTGGCAGTTGAATCTACACCGTTCGTTGGCTGGTAATATTAATGAGATTGCTACCAGCACCCTCCAATAGGTGCTTCCTGGTGAAAACAGGTGCCCAGAAACCACCTGTTAGGGTTGGAGGGTGCTGGTAGTTGCATATATTACTATATATTTTTTAGTTTATTATATTTGCTATTAAGTTTACTAAAATTAATCTACAACAGGTCTGGGACACGAAGAAAAGCAGGACCCACACAGACTCATCACAAAAACATACCAATGAGCGACAGGTGCAAAGAAAGGGAATAACGCTGGAATCTATATCAGCCTATAGATGTCTAAGAATCATATATTATATATCAATTTGAATAGTCTGTTAGAGTCTATATCTACCCAGCACCCTCACTGCCAGGTCACCACCGACCACTCGAAAGAGCCTCCAAGAGTCACCCTTTCAGAGACTTGTTGGTCGTCGGGTGCTGGTAGATGATGTGTATCAGTCTGATTTCTCATTCCGTTCCGACAATTCGCCAGCACCTGCACGGTCGGTTCCCAACCACTTTGCCAGGCATCGTTTGCCACAGTATCTCTTGCTCCTCAACGAGGTGCGTTGGCCAAAGAGGTGCTTTCGAAAGAAACATGGGTCATCATTCATCATCCAGGAATGCCAGGGCCATGGGTGTGTCAACTCAAAAACGTCCCCTATAGAGCTGACGTGACGCTCAGGGGTGTTGTTCTTTGATTTCAGCACCCCGAACACGTGGGTGTCCATGATTTTTTTGGTCCAAAACGGGTCCTATCAAAAACTTTCCAAAACCGATCACCCAAACAACACCCACGGTCTCTTTCCAAAACGGCGATGGGTTTCAAGAGACCGAATGTCAGCCCAGTGGGGGAATTCGTGTGAGAAATAGGGTTCAAATATACAGAACAGACAGTAGTTCCTTTTTTAGGGATTTAAATTGGATCCGTGCAGTTTCAATTCCAGTCATGGACCTGATGGACATATTCTTCCAATTCTATGTTCTGCCAGAAGATCGTGTCTGTTCTGAATCTGTGCACGTTGGGCATCGACGCAGGCATGCGGAACCACTGAATGGTGACCTGACCTGAACAAAAATGCTGGTTGAACCCCCAAGCATTCTTGCTCTGTCTGAGCCGCTTTCCAAGACTCTTCAATTGACTTGAACAGGCAGCCCCTGATTTCGGATGATATGACATTCTATGGGGATGGCAGTTCTTTCATATGAAGTTCTTCGGCTTGACGTGTGGCGGTGAAGCTGATTAGCTGCCAAGCAGTGAACCGGAATCCTTCGAGGAACAAGCTGCTATGTGAAACACAGACCTGTCGCTTCCGACCGAACTGGAACTGCAAGGATGACGTGATAGCACAGATGAGGCAAGATAGTCACCAGGCATCCACACCATTGTGAGAGATTTTTTAGAGTACCCCGTACCCCAACCCAAAAACACTTGGACTCCCTTTCAGACCTTCCAAGTGCAGAACGAGTGCACTCGTGCGGCCCTTCACTCCGAGTGCCGACTCCCAGGACCCACAGGTCCGGTGATATGGGGGTTCGGTCCGGTCGGGTCGCACGTTCCCCGGTGAGTGGAACTCACCGAGGGTCGGCTCACCTTGCACTGGGGAGCCGCCGAACTCTTGGAGGCCGCGGACGTGACGAGACGCGACGCCCGATTCCGCGATTCCGATTGCGCGCGCGGAAGGTGAACTCGCCCGTTCGCGCGTTGCGGAACTGGCGCGGAACTCGCGTCGCGTTTTGGAAGGGTGCGGCGGGAGGGGGGTAGAGAGACGAGGGTGGAATGGTGGAGGGGTCGGAGGGAGGGAAGGCCGAATGACTCAGAAAGATCCTTCAGAGCTTGACCCACCTGTTCAACAAAAATAGAGAGCAAGATCAGTGTATCAACCATCCGAAGGGGGGTCTCCAGTTTGTGGATGTGACGGTCCATGGTCGATGTTCCCCTCTGGCCCGGTCATCACTGAATCACGACCCCCACACGGGACTGGCGCGGTCTGGCGCGGTGACTACGCGTTGCAATGGGCCGTGGCCGGAACGGGCGACCTGCGAGAAAAGCCCTTAAGGAGGTCGCGCGCGTGTCGTTGCTGTGTCGTCGGGGTGTTTTCCCCACGCAGATTGTTCACTTGAAGTGGCCAAAAAGAGCTTCAAGGGTTTAATGCTGTGGGAACCGCTGGCGGTTCAAGCGAGTCACGCGGCCACTGATTAATCCGGTGACGAATCAGAAGGTTCTCGTGTGTCCACAAGCTCCCCAACTGGTACACTCAGAAGGACGCCTTGGGCCTCGAATGGGTTCAGGGATTTACTACCAAGAGAGGTTGAGAGACCAGAACTAGGACCCTCTAGTGGTACAAAGGGGATGAGCGACAAAGGGCTGTTCAACCTCTCTAGGTAGACTCGACCCCACGACCGGACTTGGATGAACACCCTTAGCCGCGACGTGTCAACGTATTGGACAGGCCAGGTGAAGTCGAGACAAGAAAAACCTCCATCCATTGGGCGCTTTCCGAACGGTGTAGAGGGAAGCGGAAGGTGCCAAGTGTCCCATCCAACTGGCTGTCATGGCTGTCGGGGGCTGTCTGGGGCGCTCGCAGATCGTTGGAAGTCCGTTGAACCTGCAAAGATGGCAATGTCATTCAATCAGTCAGACAAACTCTTATTGATTGGACTGATTGAGTTTGTCCAATCAACCCGTTGGAGAATGGAAACCAACGTACGAATCGAATGTCGGCCACTGTTCACCATCATCCACTGGAGGGTTTATCGATGAAAGCAGGCATCCAGCAGTAAATCAGGATCCAGTAAATTTCCAGCAGTGCATTCCCGTTTGACAAGACTACCGTACGAGTTTGAATCAGTTTGGGCCTTTTGCTTCCGCTCGACCGTGTGCAGAACCTGGGTGTTTGTGGGAGAAATCCTTGACCAACCCTCCAATCAGCACAACACGCACATCGCATCTTCTCACTTTGTTACGCATCCGTCATATTTATAGTAGTAATAAAAACACAAAAATAATATCAATATTGATTTAGTATAACATCAACATATACATATCGCGGAACAAGTCGCATAGCTTCCAAAGCGTTGAAAACATGGCGAGACCGCCATAACACGTTGGCTCAAGAAAAGACACGCCCACACGCAGCGCGACTTCCATGGGTTATGAGCCCAAGCCATGACATCGACGACGATGCGAAGGCGACGAGCAGCTTCGAAGGAGCCGACAGCTGATGAGCAGCTGGATGCAATGTTGGAGGCTGCAAGAGAAGCTCAGCCGAAAAGAGCGCAAAGCTTGGAACCGAGCAGAACTAGGACCCCATCCTTGAAGAGGACTTCGTATGCGGCAGTGACGAACACTCCGGGGGAAAGAAGAGCAGTGGAAGGACAGCGGCAATTGCCTGCGCCTGAGGATGCTCGTGAGCTTGGTCCTCGAGGACCTCCGCAGGTGTTCATGCCGATGGTTCTTCTTCAACCGGTACAAGAACAAGCATGGGGAATGCTCGCGGGGCTAGAACAACCCTACCCTGGAATGTGGGGGAATGGAGGGTCTATGGAACAGATGCCGGTGGCACTGCAGGGACGTCGTGAAGAACTATCTGAAGGAGTTCCTCTAGCTCGGGGACCTGGGGGAGTTGAACCTCGCGAAAAAGTTGGTGGAGGAGAACGAGTTCTCGAAGAGACAAAGGGTTCTGTGAAGAGTTCACCACTGAATCCCTGGTCTGCGGAAAAGTTGCGGGAAGGCTTCGGACCATTTGGCAAAGTCTGGGGCGCAGGTGGCGTATCGGTTGGAAACGAGCAGGCAGCAGTTGTTGATCGATACAAGGCCCACATTGGACAACCTCAAGATCTTCGCGGAGATCCTGCAGGCGGAGGCGGAAGAGCTGTCGATGGGAGCTGGAACCGGAGTAGGGCAGGGAAAGGGACCATCACTGAAGGCAGTGGCAACCCAACCTAAGTCGGGAACTTTTTCTACATCACTGACGAGTCCTTCTGTGGGGGAACTACGGGAGAATGGCGCCGGTGACAAAGACACCTGTCGTTTCTGGATGTCGGAAAAGGGGTGTCGGCGTGGCGATCGTTGCAAGTACAAACACATTAGATTGAGTCCCAAGGACAACAGGTACTTTCATTGCTCTGGCTTGAGCCATAGCCGTACAGCCTGCCCGTTCTTGAAGAAGGAGGGGAAGGGAGAAGAGACGGTCAAGGTGGCAAAGGTCAAAGGGGGAAGCAACACAAATAGCCCGGAAAAACCGGAGCGCGCTTGAGTCTTGGAGGAGGAGGCCAATGCTTCAACTTCACCAGGGACATCTGCGATTGTTGAGCAAGTGCCTACTGGGCCAAAAACTACGCCTGGGGGAGGTGCTCCACAAGATGATGTTGTGAACACGGTGGGAGGCTTGGTGGGTGAGGCGACGGCGGTGTTAAGGTCACTTCATCGGGCTAAAATCATGGCCATGCAATGTAAGTCGGTTGGGGCTTCACTATGTGATGGTGGGGAACCTGACGTCAAGGTCGGACTGCTGGATGGTGGGGCGACACATCCTCTCCGGACAGGACTTCCCAATGAGCTGGCGAAAGCTGAATTGGTGCCGGTGGATCTAGCACATGGTCGTGTGTCGCTCAAACAGGATCCGGTGACGGGTACCATTTTGGTGGAAGGAGGCATTGAGCCTATTGTTCCAGTCCGCGGGTTGATTGACCTGGCCTACAAACTACAGTGGAGCCCAAGTGGCTGTGTGGTGGTGCATCCCAAAAGGGGAAAGAGCTCTTCGTGGTTGCGAGATGGGTGTCCAGTGGTAGCTGAGGAGGCGGAGCACAAGCAGGTAGAGGACCTGAATGACGAGGAGAACCTGGGCGAGGACATCATGAGTGGTGGCCAGAACGCTTCCCACAGGTGCCTTCCCGCCGAGTGTTTCGATACATGTCGGAGAACCAGGAGTCAACAGCAGGTGCATTGCCTTGGAATCGCAGTACGCGACGTCGACTACAACAGTGGAAGAAGATCCTGCTACACCTCTATGCGGGGGAGAAGGCGGAGGACTGGAAAAGGTTAGAGCAAGATGGCTGGGATGTGATCAGTCTGGACATCACCAAGGGCAAGGACCAGGATGTTCACAATCCCCGCCTATGGGGTTTTCTGGCGGATTTGGCCAGAAAAGGGGCCATCAAATGTGTGATTGGTGATCCTCCATGCAGAACTGTGTCAAGAATGAGGTTTAAACGACCTGGTCCGTAGGTCTATGGCCGCTTGGTGTGCGAAAAATGGGATTGTCCTACAACTACAGCAGGGGATGATCCAGCCTCAAATGGACATGCTGAGTCAGAGGTGCACCAAATCAAAAGAAGAGTTCGCCTCAAGCTAGCCAAACACGGTTGTGAGGTGGGGTCGTGGCCAGACGCGATCCGCTATGTGGCGGCAGAACGAAGTCGTCAACAGCTGGAAAACTTGGGGGTGCCTATGCTACCTTATCGGGGGAAGGTATGGGTCAAGGTCAAGAAATGGCACAAAGATGGAGGACTCGTTGCACCATTTGTGGAGGCCCTCGTCCTATGTCCTAGTCACTTGGTCAATGGGGGTTGGGTGGTACAACTACAAGATGGTCGGGTTCTTCATGTTAGAGAAGCAGTACAAACCAACCACGAAGGAGAACAACTTCGTACTCAACAAGGGGTACAAGGTGACATGGTGCAGCTCCATTTGGAAGAAGACGATCGTCCGGGCGACCACATCGAAGACTGACTGGCAAACAGCCTTTAGGGAATACTCCACGCTTGGGGGACACTATGGCGGTGGTCACTGCTCCTGGTCCATCATCAGCGGGGGGGGAGTATTCTTCGTCGTCTTCACCGACAAGGCCAAAAGCTGCGACATCGAGATTATGGGAAGATGCGCCTGAAAATTTCCCTAAATCCTCAACTTCGGCCTCGGCAAGGGGTGTCAGGGCTATGACAGTGGGGGTTCCCGCTGAAAGGACCAGCAGTGACGAAGAGTCTGCTGGGAGATGGCTGCTCATGGAGCTCGTGAAGGAGACGTGGGAATGGCATCATACGAAACTACAAGAACAAGTGTCCAATTTGGTGGATGGTGTTCCCCGAAATGCATCTCAAGGTGCTCAACAAGGACATGAAGTGGAATTGTTTGTGGGATGGCGGGATGAACTGGAGGACAACTTGATTCAGTTGGGACGAGTGGAAAGGGACACTCCAATCCATCTATGCAGCCTCCAGGTGTCAGAGCCGGATGTCCTCCAAACAGTGACGGTACCTCTTCATGAAGTTCGAGCACATCCTCAAGAATGGGTACCGGCCTTTCAGTATGAGTACGGTGTACTGGTGAAGGATACGGAGGCGGTGGAACCGATGGCTCGTGAGCTGCTCCCTCCGGACACGGAATTGGTGCCAGGAAAGATGGTTTGTGTGAAGAAAGGAGGGACAGGAGCACATCGGGCTCGGGCGGTGATCTGTGGCAACATGGCATCAGAGACCGCTGACCCTTCACCTGGACCGGCGGGAAGTTACGCCAGTGGAGCTGATGGCGCATTTTGATTCGCTGTGCAGTACGCCAAGCGGCTCACGAAGGATGGTTGATGTCGGCTTTGGATGTGAAGAGCGCCTTCCTGCAGGCCCCGAG